TTCTGATCACCTTGGGCAGGAAGGAGAGGCAGTGTAGACCTCCCATGGTCACTCCTCTGAATTGCAGTCTGTCTCCTGTCCAGAGTGTGAGTTCCGCGGGCAGGGACCAGCTCTCTCCCGCTCAGAGGGCCCTTCTGCTGAACGAATGAATGAATGGATGATGGAATGTATGGAGAGAGAAACTGAGACATCTAAACCAAATAATGCATGAGCAGTACCTGGTACCTGGCTGGCACCCAGCAAACATTAGTGTGCCCCTCCCTCCTCTGCCTGGGCCAGGGATGCCAAGGAGCCCACGACCTCCAGCCTGGGACCCAGTGCTTGGCTCCTCCCCCGCTGCTGCTCTTCCCTGTGCCAGAGCTGCAGTTATGAAGGGTCAAGGCATGTCCCCAGGACACTTGGACAGTGATGGACTTTGGAGATCTGCCCCCACCCCCAGCCGGGAACCCTCTAGCCTTCTGTCCCCCAACTGCCACTCTGGCATACCCTCTGGGTGACAGGTCCTGAGCCCCAAAAGCCTGACCAATTTGTATCCCAGCACGACAGGGACCTACCTCCTAACCCTTCTCCTCCTCCCCTTCCCCCAAAGGCCTTTATTCCAGAGACTGGATTTTGAAGTTTCCGCCCCAGGAGCTGTCCCGGAGCAGGAGCCGGCCTTGCTGAAGGTCAGCGGTCCCAGTGCTGCCGCCCCGCGGTCCGGCTGCACGCTGGCTGCCCGGGCGCACTCACCTCTCCGGTACCGTGCGGCTCTTCAGGGTCCCGGCCGTGGGGAGGGAGCGGTCTCGGGGCAGGGCAGGGCAGCAGCGCCAGTGCCCAGCGAGGCGGCGGAGGCTCCGGGCCACCTGGCCACGGGGATGCCGGGACAGACAGCAGGCCCCGCGGGACACACGGGTGGAGGGTGCAGGCTGGCACTCCTCCACCCCAAAGGACCCGGGGAGGGTGTGGCTTCCAGAAGGGCTCTTTAGGTCCCTTGCCCTCCAGTGGGGGGAGCTCGGAGAGGCCCAGAGGTGTCCTGCCCGGCTCCCTGCAGGCACAGCTGGCTGAATCCCTTTCCCCCGTTTATCTGGGGTCTCTTTGGGGGAGGGGAGAGTGGAAGCAGGTGGCTGGTTTTGCTGCTGCCAGCTCTCAGACGTGACACCATGAACTTAACCTCAGGGGCTGAGCCCCCAAGCCCGATCTTGGAAAGGGGACATTTCTCAGCCCTGCTGCTCTGCCTGGTGGAAACCACGGCCCCACCTCAGGGGTGCAGAGGTGATGGCCTTCCCCCTAGCCCTGAGGTCCGTCATCTGCCCCTGGCTGGCTCTGCTCTACTCCCTGGAGAAGGGCAAAGAGAGAGGGTGGGAGGAGAGAGACAAGCCTGGGACAGTTTCCAACCTCCAGGCACACCTGTGTCTCTGGTGGGAAGAAAACCATGGCTCTCAAATCCAGGCTCTTAGGAGGCTGACTCTGGGGCCACCTGCTGGGCTTGACTCACCAGACCTTAGAATGGGGTCCCTTTGTCTACCCCTCTCACCCTGGTGCCCCTCTTAGGTCACTCCTGGGGTTGGGAAGGCAGAAATAAGAGGGAAACCACGAAGGAAACCACCAGCGCTCACATGACTCACACGTCTGCACCTACCAAGGTCAATTAGGATGGTCAGCGCCAGGCAGCTCCCAACTTCTCTCCACGGTCCTCCTTTGGCAACGTCTTGTCAATTGTTCTGTCCCTTCCTCTTTGGCCCATCCCAAGCAGCGGTGCTCCCAGGATCCCAGTGGCGTGCTGGAGCCGGGCCTGTGCTGGCTTGTGAGAGCAGATCGATGAATTTCCAGGAATTTTGCAAGCCGGTTGTTAAGCACTGCTGTCATTAAAACTTAACTTAGGTAAACCTACAACTAAATAATTTACATTAAAAACAAAGGCAGTAAGTACTCAAAACTCACCATTTCCTCATTATTGTACTATTACTTATGCTTTCAGGTCATTTGCACCTATGTATCTGCAACGGTGACACAGTGACATGGTGACGCCACGGTGTCATGGTGCCACTGCGAATCTCCCCCAACTCCGTGTGTAGTGACGTGCTTGGTGCTGGTGGCGTGAAATTGGCCGCAGCGAGAGTATTTCCACCATGTAAATTGGCAGACGTTACAAATCAGGGCTTGGTGTACATTTCCTTCATTGTTTACAATTTCTAGACTTAATTGAGTGTGATGGAGAAAATGTCTTGGGTGAATATTATGGTATGTAAATCATATCTCACTTTTTTCCAAATGTCATGTCTGTAGCTATTACAATGAGAACAGCACAAAAAACTGAGGAAATATTCGTCCAGCACTCAGAAACTACGACCTGAGTAAGCAAAGTCACATAGTCGGTGAATGAGGTTGGGACTTGTTTCCCGTTCGCCTTACACGTTAGCGTACAAGGAGGCCTCGGCCAGCACCCACGCTGGAGCTACACTGGCTGGTCAGGTGCACGCGCAGGCTGGCTACCAATACGTGAGTTTGGTAAACAAATCAATGAAAGCTTTCTGTGAGAATCAATTAGCATTATGAATTTTACAAGAAGTATTGTGTATCATTTGTAAATTGTTACTGTGTATACATCTGTAAATTGTGTATACATCTGTAAAATGTATACACACACACTTCTCTCCTCCCCCTCCAGAGGTCGGGTGATAAACATTGGGTGGAGGCTCCCCGAGGGCTGTCCTCGCTCTAATTTTCTTAGTGTTCTCCCCAGGGTGAGCCCTCTTGTCCCACAGATGAGCCCAGAGCTTCCTCTTGGCATGAGTATCCAGCTGCCACTCGGGTAGGTCCCAGACACCAGGTCACACACCACGTGGGAGCAGAGGTGGGGCCCTGGAGCGGTCCACCACGGGACGAATGGGACTGCCCACGGGGACCGCCGCTTCGGACTGGCTGTGGCTGTGATACTCAGGGTCAGAGTTGAAACCAGCTGGTGGAGTAACAGGGCGTGGGGGAAGAGCAAGGGGGAGGGATGGTGAACATCCCCCGGATGTGGGGCAGGACGGGCGTGGTGAGGCGGGCGCGGGCAGGCCCAGCCTTGCTGCAGGGGGCAGGGCGGGAGGTGAATGCCGGGCAGTTAGAGTTTGAGGTGCCTTTGGGACATCCACCTTGGAAACTCAGACCTGGAGTTTGGAGCAGAGGCTGGGGCTAGAAATACAAATTGGGAGCCTTCAGGGGACAGACTGTGATTAAAGTTGTGGACACGTCTAGGGCATAACGTGGTCAGATTGAGGTGAGCCCCTGAGAGAGGACCGAGTTGGCACACAGCTGGGTGTGGATAGTGCAGGGGTGGGGTGGGGGGTTCCCAAAAGGAAGGTCACTTGAGGCGAGTGCACCTACCTGAGAGGTGACAATGAGTCCTGAGAAGTGGCCTTTGGATTACTGACATGTGGGCCATTGGTGACCTTAGCAGGAGCTCTCCTGCTGGACCAAAGGCCAGCTGGAGCTAACTGGCCGAGGGGTGACCTAGGATAAGAAGTCCCTGACAAAGAGGGAGCCAGATTCCAGCACATTCTCAGGCTTAGGTGGAGGCCTATGAAACACGGGACATGGCAGGGCCCAAAAGCACTTCCATGACTGGGACAGATGGTCTCCAATAGCAGGGGAGATGTGCTGGGGCTGTCAGGTGGGGTGGCTGCAGGCCTGACTCTCAGGAGGCTGGGCTAGAGGTCACACCTACAGGTAGTCAGTGTGCAGGGAGAGACAAAAGTTGGGGTCGGGCCCTAAGGGGCTTATGGAGGGAAAAGCAGTGGGTGGGGTGGAACCCAGGCTGAGCACACAGGCGGCTGTCCACGGGGAGGGACGAGTGAGGCACTGTCCAGTGCTGAGAGCTGTCCCCAGGGAGAGTCACGGGACAGAGGCTGAGAGTTCCAGGGAGTGACTGGCCAGGTGTCAAGTCCTGCAAAGGCCACACAGTAGGAAGACTGCAGGTAGCCGCCACTCGGTCCAGCCCAAAGCAGAGAGGATGGCAGCTCCCGCTGAGTGGCCAGATACAAGGACAGATTGCAGAGCTTCAGGAAAGACAGGCAGGGAGGCTAAAGTCTTAAAATAAGTCTGGTGAGGAAGGAAGCAGACATCGGGGCAGCAGGTGGACAGAAACACCACCAAAGCCTTTGGTCCTGTGTGGATATTTATTTGCCTTCCTTCTTTCCTCTCTTCCATCGGTCAGATCTAAGCACCCTGCATTTACTCGCCCAGTAGCTGGGGGCAAATCAGAAGGAACCCTCGAGCTGAGCTGCTGTCACGACATGAGGCGAATCGCTATCCAGACAGGATTCAGTCTTTGCTAACTTAAAAAAAATAAATGCAGGCTGGGTGCAGTGGCTCACGCCTGTAATCCTAACACTCTGGGAGGCTAAGGGGGGAAGGATCGCTTCAGGTCAGGAGTTCGAGACCAGTCTGAGCAAGAGCGAGACCCCCGTCTCTAAAAAAAATATATAGAAAAATTAGCTGGGCGAGATGGCACATGCCTATAGTCCTAGCTACTCAGGAGGCTGAGGCAGGAGGATGGCTGGAACCCAGGAGTTGCAGTGGCCTCTGATGATGCACCTGTACTTCAGCTGGGGCAACGGACCAAGACTCTATCTCGTAAAAACAAAACAAAACACCCCCCGCAACTTTGGGGTGCAGGGAAGGCGTTGTGTAATAAGCAGGAAATCTTTGTGCTCCACATTTGTCCCCGGTCAGCTGTGCAACAGCCTCACAGACCTAGCGGCAAAGCAAGCAGTGGAGTCCAGTGGCTGAGGAAGAGCCCTGGTGGGGGTGGCAGGGAGCCCCGGGTGCCCAGCAGCCCCCTCGATGCCACCGTCAACGTGCAGCGAGGAAAACCAAGACTCGCTTTTCTTCCATTCCATTTTATTACGATCCTGTCCTTGTGTTCAGGAACGGCTAATACACAACCCAAAACACTCCTAAAATGCATCTTGTTAACATTCAAAAGTCTCCCATTTTCTTTCTCAGTATATTAAACCCAAAGGAAAAAAAAATCTTAAAAAAAAAAAAAAAATCAATAGGTTTAGTTCACCCCAGGAAAAGCACCTTGACGACAGGAAACTAAACGTGTCAGGAATCTGACCGAACACAAAGCAGCAGGTTAAGACTCCTGATGGGAAAGAATGATTCCCCAGGGAACATAAATAGACCCCCCAAGTATACATATTTCACAGGAGTGTGTACATACATAGGTAATATATTAAAAGAAATTTGGTTTCTACACCCAGAAGTTACTCAGAAATAATAAATCAACATCTCATCTGAGATGGGGGACATAGGTGCCACCGCCGGGCGTCCCCTCTGTGCACTGGGCACACCTGCCGGGAGGAGGGACGGCCGGGGCTTCTCTCTGCCCTGCGCCCCGGCCGGCAGATCCAGTGTTTGTGGAATAGGAGCCAGCAAATCTGGGAAGAAGGTGCCTGTGTGGCCCCCCGAGCCCCCGTGCAGAGCCCAGGGGCCAGCTGGAGGAGGGAGGCAGAGGCCCAGGGCCACCTTTGGCCCTGGGGTAAAGGGAAGTGCTTGGGACCGCAGGAATGGAACAGCCACATCCCTGGTTTTTAACAGCAGGCCTGACCCTGGCACCGGCCGCCGGCCCTCAAGCTTTGTAGTTCGGCCGGTCTGGGCTTCTCCTAGGATCAAATGGCTTTTGGGAGAAGAGGGAGTGGGGCCTTCAGATCCACCAGGGCTTAGCCTTGTGAGCCTGTGTGTGTGTGTGCGCGCATATGCTTTAATGGAGGTCAAGAAGTTGCAAACAAGTAAGTGTTTCTACTGGGGCACACTCGGAATAGTGTCTGCATTCGGGTCGGTTTTGCCATCGCATTCTAAGTGGTCCCCATGCCAAAGTGGATTTGTTCAAAAGGTCCCAGCTGCTGGAAGCTGCAAATACAGAAGACACATCGCACTATCTGGGAGTGTGATCCCCTCGGGCCTTGGCACAGTGTTTTCAAGAAAAAAACAAAGAGGGAAATGCGTGGGAAGCCCTTTCCTCGTTCCAAACCCTTTCCGGGCACCACAGGTGCAGCAGGAGAGGCGTCGGCGGAGTCGGGCGTGTCAGTAGTGTGAGGACGCGGAGCTGCCGGTCCACGAGACGAGTCACACGCAGCCATACTCATACCACACCGTCTGCTGGTCCCCGCAGGGCTCCGGGGACGCCGGCGTGCTCTTTGAGCTGCTGCCCCGACTGCAGTCCTCGGGGCCCCGGCTGGTGTGGGGAGCCGAGTCGGGGGACCGACCTGGGCTCTTGGCCGGGAGCCCCTCGACGTAGCCCTGCCCCGAGCCCCCATCTCCCTCTGGGAAGCCGAGCCCTGCCCGGACAGGGGCGACGGTGGCCATCTCCCCAGAGTGTGGGGGCGTTTTGGGCTTGGTCCTGGCAGCTGGGGCTGCAGCAGGTGAGAAGTGCTGGGAGCCGCTGCCACCGCCACCGCCTACAGTGGCGATGGCTGGGACGGTGGCGGACTGCTGCAGCGGGGCCAGCCTCTCCTCCTTCGGCGGAGCCAGTGAGAAGCGCCTGGTGTCCAGCGGCCGGCTGCGGGGGCCCAGCCCCTGAGAGGAGCTGCCGGCCTTTCCCACCAGTGGGGTCCGCTCCCGGGCCAGGCTGTGCGAGCCGGGGGCTGTGGAGCTTTGCAGGCTGTGGCTGCCTGTCTCTCTGGCCCCCGAGACCTCGGGAACCCCCGGCTTCTGAGGGGACTCCTGTTTGCAGGCCTCTGGCCCGCTGGCCCGGAGGAGGTCAGCCGAGGCCAGGCTGAAGGCCCGGCTCAGGGAAGCACTCCGGCTGGGGGGTGTGTGGGAAGCTGGGGACATGGTGGCTTGCCGGGGTCTGCCCAGAGACAGGCTCTGGGGAGGCTGGGCCTGCCTCGGGGGCACACCGGGCGGGGCCTCGGCCTCAGCTGGCCTGAAGTTTGGCTTTACACACTGCCCGGGCTTCAGCAGCCTCCCCTCGGGGGCGCCGACGGCCATCTTGACGGTGGGGGCCACGAGGCTGGTGGGCATCTTGGCCCCTTCCTTCCTGGTCGGTGGTCCTGGCTGGCCTCCAATGGCCGGGGGATCACCGGCCTTGCGGAAGTAGTCACTCAGCAGGTCGTCCGGGCAGCTGGGAGTGTCCTACCGAGAAGAAGGGAGAGGAGGGCGTTAGGGGGCTGGGAGGTGGTCCCTGGAGCTTCCTCTCACCCAGCACGTCCCTGCGGAGCCCACGCGGCCAGGACTGGACTTTCTGTTCCTGCCCGGCCCGAGGCACACACGTGTCACCCCCAGTCAGGACGTGAGGGTGGCCAGGGCAGTGAACCACCGGGAAAGACCCCCGGATGCCCCAAGGCAGCCCCCTAACTTCACAAACAAGGAAACAGATCCAAGAGGGAAGTGACTTCCCACCAAGACGACAACTTCACAGGAAGGTCGGCTCTGGAAGCCCGACCACAATGGACTGCGTCAACCGGCCTCTCTCTTTCCGCCAAGCAGAGCAGGGGCTAGCTAGACATCTGGCTGCTGTGAACCCAGCCTGCCTGCCCGCCACTCCAACGTGCTCAGGAGCATGCCAAGGACTTCACCACCGAGAGAAAGGGAAACAGCGCAGTCCTGAAAAGCTGGAACCCCCACTGCACCCAGACCTTTCTCCTGGTCCGAGAAGCGGAAGAAGAGAGAGGCAAATGGGGCCGGGGGAGCCCGGAAGGCAGAGGGCCCAGGGTGGGGGCGGTGGGCTGCACGGGGAAGGGAAGCATAATACCGCACAGTCCAGCCCACCACCTGGCCCCGGCAAGCTACCGCCTGCTGAGCCTGTCCTGCCCAGCAGCAGGCAGAGCCAGGGAGGCAAATGTCTACGAGGCTGCTCGGGTAGCTGCGGCCTCCCGCAGGCCGGGGTTTCTCCCGAGGCTGACGGACACAGAAAGAGGAGGAAGGGAAGGGAGCGAGTTCATGAGGGTCGGGGGTGTCAGTCTGGAGTTTAGGAGCCACCTGCACCTGCCAATAGCTCCTGCCGCCACGAAAACATGTGGACGTGCTGCAACTCAGCAGAGATGCAACCCGCTGCTGTGCGCTGGTCTGACACCCCAGGTCTCGGTGGGCAGGACCCTTGCGGGGTGCTGGCCACGAGCTCTGCCAGCTCACTTCCCGGGCCCGGAGGAAAGCAGCCTCCGAGGTCTGGGGGCTGGCAGCCAGCTGATGGTGACGCCAGCGAGTGCTGTTATCCTCCACGTCCAAGCCAGCCTTGCACCTAGGCCCCTCCTCCCCTGCCCCATCCCTTTCCAGGACTCCGGTCCCAAGCCAGGGGGGAGACCGAGGGAGAGAGAGGAGAGAGACCGGCATCCACGCCTGGGCCACTCACGTGGGTGGGGGGGCTGCGGTTGCTCTCCTCCAGGAACTCCTCCAAGGTGACCATCTCACTGCTGGGGGAGGCAGAGCAGGGCCGCAGCCCCGCATGGGAGGGGGCGGCACCCCTCTTCTGGGCACCCTCCTGGGGGAGAGGCCCATTCCGGGGTGGGGGGTACTCATGGCGGCCAAGGGCGCTGCGTCCTGGGGTGCTGGTGTCCCGGGGCAGAGTGGCCGGGTCCCTGCTGGGGATCAGGTCTTCGCTGCTGAAGCTCTCGGACCGTCCGTGGAGCTGGTCGCAGGAACCTGGGGCCAGGGCAGGAGACCAGAGGAGCAGGCGTCAGTCTCAGCCGCCCACTCGCTGGCCTCCCTGGTGGGCCGCCTCTGGCTCACGTAAGACAGAGAGAAAACCCTGCCCCAAACCCTGGGCTCACTCCTATTAGGGCTGTGATTCTGGATGTTAGAGGACCTTCTGGAATCCTTTTGAGTTTCTCATTGGCTTTTAAAAACAAAACAACATGAGATAAAAGCAGAAAGCTTCCACTAATTTAAGTTATCCACGGCTGTAAGGCACAGCACTCATTAGCTCTCGTTCACTCATGTATTAAAAGTTTATTTAGCACCTACTATGTGCTAGGTGCTCTTCTAGGGACCCGTCACATGGAAGCTAATAAAAAAAATCATTTTAAGCCGGGCGCGGTGGCTCACGCCTGTAATCCTAGCTCTCTGGGAGGCCGAGGCGGGCGGATTGCTCAAGGTCAGGAGTTCAAAACCAGCCTGAGCAAGAGCGAGACCCCGTCTCTACTATAAATAGAAAGAAACTAATTGGCCAACTGATATATATATAAAAAATTAGCCGGGCATGGTGGCACACGCCTGTAGTCCCAGCTACTCGGGAGGCTGAGACAGAAGGATCGCTCGAGCCCAGGAGTTTGAGGTTGCTGTGAGCTAGGCTGACGCCATGGCACTCACACTAGCCTGGGCAACAAAGCGAGACTCTGTCTCAAAAAAAAAAAAAAAAAAAAATCATTTTAAGATGGCGCACACTCTTTTCAAATGCTCAGGGAACATTCATGAACAGAGCACATCCTGTACCAACACAAACTAAAAATTGTCAAAGAACCCAAATCCTCTGTGTTAGTCCTCTAACCGCAGCGGAACGGACCTGCCGTTGCCATCCCCATTCACAGATGGAGTGACTGAGGCTCGGAGGACCTGCGCTCAGAGCCGGCCAGTGGGGAGAAGGGCTTTGAACCCCGATCTACTGTAACTCCCAGGCCTGTGCTCAAAACCACACAGTGTGGCTTACGGACTCATCATAATGCATTTATTTGAAAGGCTTATTAATTTAGGTGTTTTTAAAATTAAAAGAATACTCTGAGCCCAGAGCCAAACACACAGACACGTCTTTAAAACTCCACGGGAAAAGACTTGCCTTTTAGGTTGAGAGGCGAGCTGTTGCTGGATGTGTTCCTGCTGCTCTCCAAGCTGCTCGGCCGGGACGCTGAAAGGAAACGGTGACATGGAACGACGTGCAGGGCCACCCACCAGGTGTGTCCCCGACTAAACCACCGAATCTGAGCAGGACCCCGTGCCAAAGCAATTCTGCACCAAGGCTACGGCCACCGCCCCGAGGGGGGAAGAACTCTGGGATTCTCTGCATGCCGCGGTGAGAAGTGTAGCTTCACTAACAGAGTGCCAGGCACAGTCTTCCGCAGGCGACCAAGAAGCGACAACTTTGGTTACCTACTCTTATTAGGTCTAGCGTTGCTGTTTAAAACAATCTCGCTAACAGAGGAAATCTCACCCAGAATTCCAGAATAAAGAACGGACCAAACAAAGGGGCTGCTCTGGGTAAACCAGAGGTTGGGGTGGGGAGGGGGCCCACTCCTGTTACTGCACAGAGCTTTCCGGAACACGCGAGAACAGCCCCTGTCGAGGCCATAGGAGCAGAGATGAGGGGCTGTACAAGGCAGCTCGTGCACACGTATGCAAGCACATGCCCGTGCACGGGTTGGGAGGGGTGTCACACGAGGGGATCCACAGGGCGTGGGTGCTGGGCACCCCGGCAGGAGGGGAGCACTCGCTTCTCCCAGCTCTTTGCTGTTCTCCATCTGCTTGGTGTCGCTAGCCTCAAAGGGAAGGATCAAGGTTTGCAGGGCCGAGTGCCAAGGGAACCCAGCCCTCCCGGCCAGCCTGGGTGCTTGCCTGAGCGTGTCTGTGCCACGCGCCTTGCTGCTGACTTGTGGGAAGGCTGGGCCACCCCTATCGAGGGCAAGCCACCCCCCTTCCAGGACCCGCAGGCCTCTCCTGGGGCATCCTCTCAACAGCCTGCCCCGTACCAGAGCATCTCGTGAGCAGACATCTGTCTCCTGCTGGACTATATGGGCCCCCGGGGACAGGGACAGTCTCCCTAGCACAGAGCAGGTGCTGAGCTGAACCGGCAGCCCTGAGAGCCTGCAGGTACACCAGGAAGTCCTCTGCCTGCCGTGACCCCGGGAAAGCTTGCTTGGGTTTCCTGGGTCCGCAGGGTGCCTGGCTCCCAAGTGCTGGTGAGCTCTGCAAACAGCAGGCAGCTGGAAACGCTCGTTAGCACAGCGTCGGGGGATGAGCCAACACGCTGTTTCCATGAACACTTGGTGTTCATGGAAAGTGTGAAAACTGAGAGAAGGGAAAATGTGCAACAAACAAATGCACATCGCTCTTTGAAAAGGAAATAAGTTTAAGTGCGAGGAAACGGTGACAGCAATCGGTGGGCGCCAAGAGCACCTTTGTTTATTCAAGTTCTGCATCACAAATCGCTTTCCCTTCTCTCTCTTGGAATCTGAAAACCCCTAGCTCAGCTGACCGATCACAGCCACGGCTACCCGGTGAGACTGTCCAGGCGGAGGTGGCGCATTCTTGCTGTTGTGTCACCCTGTGTTCTGCCCGCGGCATAGAGCTACGTGGGGCCCCCGAGTCAAACTGTCCCTGTGATCTGTAGATGCTTATATCTGTATGAATGAGCGTCCACACCATAGAACTTTTTTTTTTTTTTTTTTTGAGACAGAGTCTCGCTTTGTTGCCTAGGCTAGAGTGAGTGCCATGGCGTCAGCCTAGCTCACAGCAACCTCAAACTCCTGGGCTCAAGCGATCCTCCTGCCTCAGCCTCCCAAGTAGCTGGGACTACAGGCATGAGCCACCATACCCGGCTAATTTTTTCTATATATATTAGTTGGCCAATTAGTTTCTTTCTATTTATAGTAAAGAGGGGGTCTCGCTCTTGCTCAGGCTGGTTTCGAACTCCCGACCTCGAGCAATCCACCCGCCTCGGCCTCCCAGAGAGCTAGGATTACAGGCGTGAGCCACCGCGCCCGGCCCATAGAACTTTTTAAACAATGGACAGGACAGTAGACAATGCCAGATCCTGCAATGACCGCTTGAGAAGTGAGAGGAATTCAATGTAAACTTTGAGAGTTGTTGTTTTTTTTAGGGTTATTTTCCCACCCTTCTAGGGTGGCTTTTCAAAAATTAAAACCAAAGCAGCTTTCAATTTTTGAGAAATCTGGTATCGCTGTTTCCCATCTGCAGAAATGTATAACATGCCTAAATCAAATGACAAGCGCTACTAACAGCTTCAAAGACTAAATACAACTTACTTACAGGCAACTGAAACCCAAGTAAGGACAGTGAGAGACCTTCCTGAAATGAACACTCCCTTACCTGGGCCACCAGAACTTCTTGGCAAACCTGGAGGGGTGCTTGAAAGCAAAGGGTGGGGGTAGGGCAGGAGCAGTCAGAGCTTCCAAAACAGCAATGACTGGGAGGTAGTGAGCTCGCCATCGCTGGAGGTATGTAAGGGGAAACCACATGCTCAGGTCCCTGGGGAGGGCAAGGAAAAATGGGTTCCCCCCTCTTCCCACCTTCACCTATTTTGTGCTGGGCTTCCACACAGGACTTAGCTTGAAGGAAACGTAGGACTGGTAAAATCGAGTCTGAGAACCCAGGCAGAAAGGCCCAGCACCCAACCACTCACCGCACTGCCTGTGGTTGCTGAACTCGAGCTCCAGGGACGGCTCACAGAGGTTGTCATCTGAATTGCAGCCTGCAGCAATAACAAGGCCATGAGTCAGGGTTCTAGGACATTCACCAGCCACAGGGAAACCCTGGGCCAGCTCCTTGGGATGAGGGAGGGGACGCAGTCAGTGCCTTTGGGACCTGCCTCTCCCATCCCTCTGCACTTCTGCTGGGACAACCCCAACACTCCCGACTCCCATCCCCTTAACTTTCATCATTGCACTTCCGCCTGTGCAGTGACTGTGACCAAGACCGAGACTGACGGTGAATTCTGGCCTAAGGATGACGTGAAAGGACTGAATATTTAGCACCCTGGGGAGCCCCTTCCAATCTCGAAGGCCAGCCGTGAAAGATGGTTTAGGGGTCACATTGCCTTAAGGTGGCAGGAGGAAGGAAAAGAAGGACAAAGAGGCAGAATCCTAAATCTACCATGAGGGGACCGGCTGATTCCCTGGAGACTGACCCTGCACCCCGCCGCTCCCAACCAGAAGGAGACCCGGGAAACCCTGGGCCATCAACAAACCCACCTTCCCTGAGGACTGGAAAATGTTCATGCCTCAACCCTACTGTTTCCAGACCCTGGGCCCCTCCAAAATGACAATGGGGTCTCCACCTGAAGGTAGTTTATAGCCCACCAGCTATGGATATCTGGAGCTCGACGGTCCCCAGGGCAGGGACCGCGGCTGTGTTGCTTTGTTTTGCTTTGCTGGTCAAACCAAGGTTAGGCACACCCAGGGCTTCAAGAGTGGGTGGCATTATTATGAAAAATAACCCCTTCTTGCTCTCTCAGACTTCCAAGGCCCAGAGGCAATCACTTTCAATTCCTTCAGCTGTTTCTTTGCATATTTTCATATCTCTTAAATTATAAGCAGAGTGTCTTTTTTCAGTTTGAAGCATTATCTTTTCCTTTCTGTGTGCATATTTTAAATTTCCAAATGCTTCCCCTTCCCACTGCTCCTTTTTATAGCACCCTGTTCTCGTTTCATGGGTGCAACAGTCACATCCCTGGCGACGTGAAGGACAGGCATCTTAAAAGTTCTCACGTCTGTGCCTAACGTCTGTTAACTCCAGCTGCCGTCTGCATCCGCTTTGATCCTCTGGTGTGGGAGACTCCCCTGAGGTGTCTGGGAATCCTTGAACTTCCTTGGGTGTCACCTGGCAAGATCTGACGGAGCCATTCTGGGAATCTCTCCGGCTACTGTGATCGCTTAAGGAATATTTTCATCTCGTGGGGAAAGGTGTGAACACACACGGCCCTGGTGTGCCGGGAGACAGGGAGTTTGCGAACCCTTCACTGAATGCCCTTGTTTTCAGTATAGGACACCTGCTCAGCTGTGTCAGTGCACGTCCAGCTTAGAGTCTGTTATCCTCTCTACAGAAAAAACCTCCGAGCCCCTACTAAGGAGGGGTGCGGGCAGTTGCTTGGTTTTAGCCCAAACTCTGCTTCTCAGCCCTAGCTCCACCTCCCATCTGAAGCTACTTGGTGTCACCACTCCCTGAAAGCTGGTGGGGGGTTCCAAAGCTTTTCCCACTACAACCCGGCCTCTAGATCAGGTGTCCTCAAATTATGACCCACGGGCCACATGCCGCCCGCTTAGGACATTTATCTGGCCCGCTAGATGTTTTTGCTGCAGCCGCCTGTCCTGCTTAGCAGCTGACTTGCCCCGGGCCCACAGTGCGCACCCTCCAACGGTCTGAGGGACAGTGAACCGGCCCCTGTTTAAAAAGTTTGAGGACCCCTGCTCTAGATGGCAAGTTATTTGTCCAAAGCCACTCGGCTGGGAAGTAGAGTGGAGGTTCGGGCCTGTGTCTGTGACACCACAGGCTGTAGACAGTGTAGCCACTCTGCTCACTACCTCCAGCTTGAGAGGGGCGGGCCCCACCCCAGCCTCTGACAGCATGGGGTCTTCAGGAAGGACAGATGCTCGCCCTCCCAGAGGAGCCCAGGACTCACCTTTGGTGCGGCCTGGGTGCCGGGCGAGGGGGGTGGAGCTGGACGGGACGGTGGCGGGGGCTGGGGCTGAGCAGGTGCGGGAGCCCAGCTCCGAGGGCCAGGACTTCACGGCCGCGTCGGCGGAAGCATCTGTGCGGTCAAGGCTGCCTCCGTGCGGGGACCCTCGCTTTGGCTTTAGATCCCCAGGGCCTGGGGCAGAAGGGGACACTGAGAAACGAGGCTGCCAAACCCTGTGCCCAGGCTGGGCCACCACACGAAGGCTCAGAAGCAGGGGCAGCGGGGCACGAGGACCACAGAGACAAAAGCTGAGCTGCCACGGCTCCTGGGCCATGATTTAAATGGGGGGGACGGGTGGGGAGGCTGACTCCAGGCCTAGGTCAGAGGCCCCATGAGGCCACCTCTGGCTCTAAAAGTGGGTCATACTGCCAGCCATGAATGGCTGGGAGAAAACAAGGGGAGAACTCAAGTGGATAAACAAACTGTTGATAAAAGTCCACCCAACACACCAGCTATCGGGCACACCGCCTATGGAACAGTGTATAGGACACCAATCCCCGACCTATTAAGATCCTAACAGATGTCTGCCCGGGGCCACTCCAGCCCGTAGCCAAGGATCTGGAGGTTTGCCCAACTGGCTTTGCTTAGGGCTTCAAATAGATGTTTACTGCCAACCTCGCAATATACAGTTTTTTAAATAGAGAAGCCTTCAACCTCTGCCTGGTGAGACTGCCTGCAAGATGGTTTGCACCTCATAACTTGTGCTTTTCTGCAATCTCCAATTTTTCTACCATGAACATATAAAACTCTTGTCACGACTACATAAAATCATAAATAAAAACATTAAAAACACCCAAACTAGGATGGGCTGTCCAAATACGAGATAAAAATTAACGTGACTGCAAAACATCCCACTTCCACCTGCCCCGAGGGCCGTGAACCCAGAGCCGAGACTTGGCCCCTCCACACGTCCGCCCCGTCTGCCCTCCCTAGTACGGGCTCACTGCGCGGTTTTTAAGTGCCCGGATCCTAACGATGTGAAATCAAGGGGACGTTTGGATTCTGAAAGATAACCTTGATGAGAAGCAAGATTCAAGTCTGGCGGGATGGACTGGGAAGGTGAAGTCTGAATGAGGATCCAGAGGGGAGGCAGGGATGAGCGCACGGTTAGCACGAGCGGCAGACACAGAAGCGGCACAACCTCAGCGTGACGCGTGGAAGCCAGGGGCCTGGAGGACCCAGGACCGCGGCAGCCCACGGTTCCCAGAGCGAGGTGATGAGATGAAGTCAGTGGCAGGTTAACCGACTTTAACAGCTTTGCAGTCATGTGTTTATTCTTAGGGTTACCTTGTTCTTATGGTGATTGCTCATTTTCCACTTCTAGTACTGATAATAATCTTTCCTTTTAAAATAAATGTAACTGCAAACTATGAGTCAACTTAAGGGAAAATATGTAAGTAATCATCCAGGTTGTGTGAGGCTATGGCAAAAATCGAGAAGATGGCACAGGACTGGCTGAAGACAGGAAAAACTGCAGTAGGTCGTGACCTTGCTGGCCAGGATTTTTCCCTGCTCTGGTCGTGACTTGTGTGCTGATGCTCTTTCTGTCCCCTATGGTTTTAACTTCAGCATCCGGGATGTCAAGAGAACCACAGCACAGTCATAAAACTTCACTCTGGGCTGAACTCAGGCTGGGCAAAAATCAATCCAATTATTCACAAAATGCCTGAACGGAGCAATCAATCCTTCAAAACACAGAACACATTAAAAAGGGCCTTCTTAGCAAAGCCAACAACTCAGTGCTCCGACAAAGGAAGAGGAGGAAAGGGCAGTGGTTTTAAATTTAGCTGCTTTAAAAACAAGTCTTAAAAAAGAAAACCTTCCTGGACAGAGGCTGTGTATTTTAGGAAGCACAGCAGCCACTGACTGGTTCTGCTGGACACACGGCAGGACACAAGCTTGCAGGTGCAAGAGAGGGGTGGAAGCACACGGCCACTTGACTTACTAAGTACGGGCATCCCGGCCCAGGGACACGTACGTATATCCTGAGGCTCCCCTACAACTGTGCTGCACTGAAGAAACGGTCCAGGGAGTGTGACATCTTCTATTTTGAAATCAGAATCCACGCTGGCTACTTTAAGCTTGGAAATTGGGGCAGGAGTAGGGTCCACTAGGGGCCATCTGGCCTTTAAGGTATTGGCTTTTTTTTGTTTGTTTGTTTGCATGAATTTCAGAAATGAAGATGGATACATGATGCAGACACATGGTAAAGGAAAGGGATTAGAAATCTCCAATGTCTGAGAAAGAGACAGGCTCGTTAGGAGAGGATGGGATGTCAGAGGAAGACCAGAACCGCAGGCGTTTAGAGAGAGCTGGGTGGGTGGTCGCTGGAGACTTGTCTTTGTCCTTGCTTTTGCTTCTCAAAAAGGGACTCTTTTTGCGCTGGCATGCTAAATTGTTATCGCCCGGATAACCCGAAAAAGAAGGAAGAAAAAAAAAAAAACAAATAAATGAAATGAACAGTAATTACAAATGAAATCTAAATTGGATAAATGTACTTAGGAAATCAGAATCCTGTCTGGCCCAGGAAAGATGGAAACCACACCTGACGCGCAGAGCAGAACCAGGGCTCGGTGAATCATTTGTGCTCTAGCTCAGTTTAATTAATTTAGAGGCCTCTTAATGCCAATGATTTACTTATTCCACACGTGAGGAGAATTATATATTGCCTAAGGAGCCAACAGCTTAGATGATTTTTCAATTTCAGTGTGTTAAATTATTAAATGAGAATGCTTATTAATTTAGGGCCCGGCTTCTCTTACTCATCCATTTTAATGACGGGGTCCCTGACAACTCAGCCCACAGCCTGCTCCCGCTCCTGAGACCTTGGAAACACTTAATGATAAGTTTCTGGCCCGATGTAATGAAATTGCCTACCTGAAGTATTCACTAATCATTTTTATATTTCTAAAATAATCTCTCTGGGCAGGATGAATTTTAAAATGATTAAAATACCTTGTTTTCATACCAAAAAAACTCTACAATGCCAAGAAGAATCATTTCCTTTTACATCCTTCACTCCAGTCCTACAATCCTTTAAACGGCAGACTCTTAAAAAAAGCAGGAAACTGGTTTAACTTCCTGAACACGTTTTATATTAACATTAACTGACCTAACCAATTTCTGATTTAGGATTGATTGAATTTGACACCAGCATGTCCTCTATTTCTCCCTCCACAGCACCACCTGGTGGCCGTAGCTCGCACCACAGAATAAGGGACCCAGTTCAATGCTGGTGTCCCTCTTGTTCAGCATCTTCAGGGACCAAAACAGCCGTAACCAGAAGACGCGCCATCGTGAGCTGCGCGTAGTTAACAGCTGGGGCTCCGGAGTCTGAGCGGACTGCCCGGGATCCCATCTGCTACATCAGCAAGTGTTTAACACACTGACGGCCACGCTAGAAAAAAAAAGTTTTTCCTTGGGGCCACAGTGTTTTATTACAAAAACAGAATAAAAACTTCGAAAACAGGCCGGGCGCGGTGGCTCACGCCTGTAATCCTAGCTCTTGGGAGGCCGAGGCGGGCGGATTGCTCAAGGTCGGGAGTTCGAAACCAGCCTGAGCAAGAGCGAGACCCCGTCTCTACTATAAATAGAAAGAAACTAATTGGCCAACTAATATATATAGAAAAAATTAGCCGGGCATTGTGGCACATGCCTGTAGTCCCAGCTACTTGGGAGGCTGAGACAGAAGGATCGCTTGAGCCCAGGAGTTTGAGGTTGCTGTGAGCTAGGCTGACACCACGGCACTCACTCTAGCCTAGGCAACAAAGCAAGACTCTGTCTCAAAAAAAAAAAAAAAAAACTTCGAAAACAGAACGATCCTTTCTAATTTAATGAAAACTTCTTTATTTTTTATTGTTTTCTGTGCGTGAGTTATGTGCAACTTGAAAACTAGTTCACGCAGCTCTCAGGTGAAGAGACGTGAGTTGCATCCGCTTCACCAGCCCCCGGGCTCAAAACTAGCGTGAGTTAAATATAACTCACAGGGCAGTGAAGTCCAGCCTCACCTTCTCAACCCTAAAAGGGGACAGTAATCACGCCTACCTCACAGGACAGTTAGGATTAAATGAGACAGATAAAGCCCAAGAAAGTAGTCAAAAGGGGGCTGAGCCCAGAGAGCGGTCAAGACATGGCGGCTGCTCAGCTCGACGGTTTGGACCTGCCAAGCATTCTTTCCTCTGTGAGATTTCCTAACTCAATTAGGCTAATTATAGTGAATTAATTCAACTTACAGAGTAATACAAGTTGCGATGATAAATGCCAAAAAATTAAACTAGTCTAGCCAATATGAAAACTGGAGGCAACAGAATCCCTCCAGATAAAAAGAAAAGTTGAGTTTCATTATCATTCATTTGCATGTGAGCCCTTTCCCTAACCTCATCCCCATAAAGAACGAGAGTGCAAGCGTTAGTCCCTGAGGTGCGTGTGCACGTTTCTTTTGTGCATCTGAAAACGACACAAGAGGTACTTGTAAGCAATGAATGTGATGGGGGGGGGGGCTGGGGGAGAAGCTTTGCACCTGTCACACTTGTCCTCGGTGCCACACCCCCAGCCCTGAGAGGTCATGGGCCTCAGGCACAAGCTAGATGTTCAGAAAGTCCTGGCATCCTGCATAAAAATTTAAATTACTTTAAGTGCAGGCCTGGCATAAACAATCCCCCCCCCAATGATATTTAAAAGTAAACTTGAAAATTTAACAAATGTTTAAGGTAGCTGCTATGTTTACTCCATTCACATTTTCTTCTATACCCTAATATCTCTGAAACCAGAATGCAGCCTCGATGTTGTCTCACAGTCACCACTGGCTGGCTGGCAGCTGTGACAAAAACGTCTTTGTCGTAACCTATTTATCTTGCTCATATTTTTCTTTAATGTTTATGTGCAAAAATCTGCCAAGTCTTTTAGGAGAGCTCTTTCGACAAGAGTGCAATAGAAATTCTAAGTGGTAGGCACTGTGTCATTTGCCTGCCAGTGGGTTTATTTTTTTTCCTAGTGGTCTATAAAGTAATCGCGCAGCTTATCTGGCTTGAGATTTCATAAAATGCAGCACATACGACCAGAAATCCTCTTATTTTAGAAGCTCTGGCTAACTCCGAGTGGCAGCTCGAAGGGGAAAGGTACGCCAGGTTAGAAGCACCCGAGGGCTTTCTGAAGATCTCGTTTATATACATGGAGAACAGGTTAAGTGCACCTGGGGTCTCCCCACAGAGACTGCTTCCTATACACCTCAAACGTCCCAGGGAGCCGGAAACGCATGCTACCACGCTTGTCTCTGTGCACCTGCATGATACCAGCTTTGGGTATTCAAATACCTACCACACCTTCCAGGAGAAACGCTGCTTCTGTTCTAAAATAAAAGAAGTGATACAGGACAAAACGGTCACAATCTTGGCATGGATTTCTTACTAGCTGGTCCATCGCACACCTAAGTAGAAGGCACATGCCCACGCACACATCCGTCCCGTGACTGGCTCCTCTGGGACACCCCCTTCCTCAGCCCGACCACGGCGGCCCGGCCACGCCTACCTTTCCCCACAGGCCCGCCGTGGGCGTCGCGCTCTTCTGCGCAGTTCGAGCCCGGTGGGGGGGTGTCGGGGTTCTCCGGCTGTGATCTGAGAGCCTGAGAGGTCGCTGGTGAGGTGGGCTCTGAGGAGTCCAGCTGCCAGGGGGGGCTGTCTACGGTCGACTTCAGCCGTTCTCTCGAACCCTCTTTCTTTGGTTTGATGAGTTTGACTAACGCTTTGGCTCCAATCCAGTGGTTCTTCCTAGTTAGAAATGAATTTTCAGGAGGACACACCCAACCTCCCACACCACCCCGCAGCGGGTGATCGGCTCCCTGACAGGCTGGCATTTCTGCCACCAGCCCAGTAAGGTTAATTCGGGGTTCAGGACCATGGCACCCCGACCTCACTGTATTCGGGGATCTGGAGGTGGACCTGAATTCTCAGGCACGGGGCCGGGAACGGTAGAAGCAGGTGTGTCGTGGCAGAAACCCACACTGGTCTCCCGGGATGAAGGATGTGGTGCTGTGCTTAATCTTACTTGGCAATTTTTTGGTCGAAAAGCCATTATCAGGAATAGAGTCAGGAACCTCCTCATTTTTTTGCTAAAGTTAATAGTAAGTGAAATAAGCTGGCATTCTCTGACTACTCCCTGGCACTGAGTAATCCGGGTGAGGGGGCAGAGGGCAGCGGAGAGAAGGCTGTTTGATTTAAAATCAGCAAATTGAAAGGGTAAGCAACAAAGCCGCGGCTAGCCGGAACACAGTGGCACTGTGACGTAGCACGAAGAGAGCCACGCCTGGTTCTCACCCTGTCTTTGAAACCAAACAGTGCCCTGTTTACACACACCCCTCCAGTTTCTCATCTCAGCCTCCATTTCTGTACATGTCAAATAGAAGACTGAGATGGAGGTTCTGAAATTCTGAGGTTCTGTGATTTCAACAGACTTAAGAGGGACCTCGAAGGATTCGTGGTCATTTAGAGTTCAAGGTTGGGCTGGGCTAGGACAATCCGAAGGGATGACTCTTGGGGCTCCGGCCCCGGACAAGGGGCAGAGCTGCTAGACGGAGCCAGCCCCCCAGCTTAGGGGCCGCTGTTCTCTAGAAAAGAGACCGTGTTTGTGAAGCCTCCCTGAGGTTCTGTGAATCCAGAGGAATGTGCATAAGGCCAAAAGGCTCCCACGTTTCAAGACCGTGGGGCTGGGCCAGGTGTTCTGCCCACATTTCTTTTCCAAAACAGGAATGTGGTTGTCCATGTCATGTTAAATCTTGAGCTAGAACCCCGCAAGGCGACCCAGCCATCCTGCTTTTTTTTTTTTTTTGAGACAGAGTCTCGCTTTGTTGCCCAGGCTAGAGTGAGTGCCGTGGCGTCAGCCTAGCTCACAGCAACCTCAAACTCCTGGGCTCAAGCAATCCTACTGCCTCAGCCTCCCGAGTTGCTGGGACTACAGGCACGAGCCACCATGCCGGGCTAATTTTTTTTCTCTATATATTAGTTGGCCAATTAATTTCTTTCTATCATCCTGCTTTTTTAATAGCTCCAGACCACAGACACTCTGCCCCCTTAAAAGGGCTCATGGCTAAATTAAGCCTGTGTGCCATCATAGTCACCTGGCATTTGCCACCCCTTTCAAAGGACAAGCTGGAGTATAGAGGCAGGGCTCAAAGGAAGTCCCACCCCTTCTGGTGTGGGAGAGACCTGTACACAGATGGCCTGCTCCCCATGGCTGAGTGTGCACCCCACTCACGGAAAAGGAAGCTTTTCTGCTCCATCTTTATGTCCCTGAACTTAAATCAACTCACTTCTTTGGAGCAGGGTCATAGAACTTGTACTGATCCATGATTTTTTCTTCCAGTTTTTCCTTGTGTCTCCGTAAGGCGTTTAATTTGTCTCTGTGAACAGAAGGGAAAGAACACCTGTCAATCCAGTTTTAAACAGAGCAAGTGAATTTACTGGTCGATTCGGCCTGGGCCCATATTTTTCTGGGACTCAGATGTGAGGGTGCTCTCACCGCCGTAGTCACTGAGTGTGGAACATGGAAGCATCTGCCTGGGTCGAGGGAGCCCCACGACCCTGCGGTTTACTAAAGCGCCAGGACCCAGCTGTGAGCTCAAGGCAGCAAGCCTCTGACCATCTGAAAACTCCAGCTCAGGAGTGCCAAGGATTCTCCAGCTAGGTCACGCAGGACATGGGGCACTCCCGGGGTCAGGCGGGAGCTCCCTGCGGGAGCAGGGGTGGGTGGGGGTATGTAATGGACACTCCCCAGGTACAGGGGTCGGACAAGTTAGTTCAGCAAAGTCAGACCTCTGATTTGAGCCCATTCTAACTCAGAAGCAAATGCAAAAGCTTTCAGGGGCCAAGCAGAGAAGATACCGAGCAAAACGGTGCCGGAGAGACCAGAGGGAGTGGTGGGGCCTGTGGCAAAGCTTCGGCCCACCAACGCCAGCCAGAAGCCCAGGCAAAGTGACAAAATCTCCCGACTTCTAAGTGTTGGAAACTGGTTCACATTTTTAGAAAAACACAGCAAGGGACCGGAGAGATGCCTCCTGAACCCTGGGGAGCCACAAGGCACCCTGCTTCCTGGAAGCTTCTGTCCTTCCTAACATGCAGGGAGAGCTTTTGTGTGGGCTCAGGAGTGGCGGGCTGTGGGCACTCCTGCCGGCTGCTCCTGCCTCGTCACCTGCGTGGTCCCGACAGCTCAGAGTCCTGGTTTCCCTGTTTGAAAAAGAGGCCTTAGACAAGAGGCCCGACCCTCCTCGTTCTCAAAGCTGCTGAGGTTCTATCCAAACTGGAGGCCTTCTAGAAGGTTCACTGCGAGGTGAGCCCCTGGGGAGAGCGACCCAGCCACGCTCTGCTGCTCCCAGACCCCTGGACGCCGCCTGGGTCCTGGTGTCCTGTCCTCACGGCCTCGCTGCTGGGCCTCGAGCTTTCTCGGCTGGGGTCGGCCCCACAGACCCCCGGGAACCCACGGGGCTGGAGCAGGTTCCAGGACGCTTGCCAACCCGCCGGCCCGGGGCAGACACTCTCTAACGCAAAACGTCATCAAATAACCCCCCTGGGTACGAGGCTCTTACTCCTTCCAGTCAGCGCCTGCCCAGCCTCCGCTGGCGCCTTTATCGGCGGGATTACAGAGGCCAACTTCGGGCAACCGCCGTCCCTGCCCCGCAATCGCGGCGCGCTTTCGCACATGAACCATCCTTCGGCAGGTGGCCGGCTGCCCCGGACGAGCAGGTAAGCCAGGAAGTGATGAGGAGCCTCGTTTCGCCAGGGGAGCAGGGACACCACATGGCTTCCAGGTGCCCAAGTCCCTCCACAGACGTGTCCCAGCTTGCCCCTGTGCCAGCACCCGGGCCACCCGGGATGCCCATCCACGCCACTCCTGAGCACATGGACGGACGGCCCAACCACTGCAGCATGGAGTGCCAAAAACCACCCTGGATTCTTAAATCACAAAGTTTCCAGCTTTAGGGTTCTTCTTCCGGCAGCTTCTAGGCCCTGCCAGACTAGCATCCCTTCCCAACCTTCCCAACTGCACCCAAAGTGAACAGCCAGACACGGAGGCCATGCACGGCCGAGTGCCCACCTCCTTTTCCAGCCTTCTCTCCGGATGCCCCCTGCACATTCCCTGCACCAGGACTGCCCGCTACGCCCCAGCTCCCAGCCCCCCTGCCCCAACTTCCCAACCCCTGCATGCCTCCCCCTCACCCCGTGTAGCAGCAGAACTCAAACTCAACGCCCCCCCCCATGCCTCTGTGTAGCCCTTCACGTCTGGCTGGTATCGGACAAAGCTCTGTTCACACCCTAACACTCCTATGGTTCCCGGCTGGTTCTGTGCACTCGCAGGGCCTGCGCTTAAACCGGCACTGCACCAACACCCGGGGGGCGAGGACAGCAGGGCACACCAAACCCTCTCCAGGGGAACACGGGCAAGGTGATGAAAGATACGTTTCCCGGCTCTCATTCTTAGCCTTCAGTCTGAATTCTTTCCCTAAGATGCTTCTTTTTGGTGCTGTCGTATTTTTAAAAGAGAACTTAATTCCAAAAACAGAGAAAGAAGCTTCTAGTAGTAGACAGGGCCTTGGAAAAAGCAAACCTAAGCCAATGACCACCACTTTCAGAAGTGGAGGGCATTCTAAGAAACCAAGGGGCCGGGTGTGGTGGCTCACACCTGTAATCCTAGCACTCTGGGAGTCCGAGGCGGGAGGATTGCTCGAGGTCAGAAGTTTGAAACCAGCCTGAACAAGAGCGAGACCCCGTCTCTACTATCAATAGAAAGAAATTAATTGGCCAACTAATATATACATAAAAAATTAGCTGGGCATGGTGGCGCATGCCTGTAGTCCCAGCTACTCGGAAGGCTAAGGCAGGAGGATCGCTTGAGCCCAGGAGTTTGAGGTTGCTGTGAGCTAGGCTGACGCCACGGCACTCACTCTAGCCTGGGCAACAAAGTGAGACTCTGTCTCAAAAAAAATAAAATAAAAAGAAACCAAGGGAAGTCTGCCTTGGAGAGTGATCTGTGCCCAGGACTGCTCTTTGCCACCAGAAGCCAGGACGGCCAGAGACGGAGGGTTCCCTGCTGTGACAGCCCCCGTGGCCCCCTTACATGTACTGCTTCTGCTCCTCGTGGTACTGCTCCTTGTTCTCCAGGTTCTGCTCCAGAAGCATCTGGTTCTGCTGGCTCAGCAGCTGGATCTGGCTCAAGAGGTGGTGATTTTCTTCCTCCAAGTTCCCCTTGAGACGGGAGAGCAGCTAAAACGCAGACCAACAGCATCTCAAACACTGAGCAGCCCTGAGGCTCCACCGCTGGGAGCCTACACAGCTTCCCAAGGAAGAAGGCCAGGCGCACAAAGACATTCACTCCAGTGTCATCTACACTAGTGACAACTTGGAAAGCACCAGAGCAGCCGATAACGTGGGAATAACTGAGTTCCCACCACGACCGCACAGTCCAATCCTGGGGCCCCTGACGACGTGTGGCTACTGAGCACTTAAAACACAGAGAGTCCGAACGCGGCTCTATCGCAAGTGCAAAACGCACGGCAGATTCTGAGGGCCTAATGTGAACATCATTATATACAATTTATGTACACACAGGGAGAGGGACTAGAAGGGAAAAGGAGGTGAGACTAAGACATTTTATTCACTAAAAATATTTCTATGACTGTCATCACTACGTTGCTTGGGCAACGAGTAAAGTAAACACCGTAATAGAAGTGCCACTCTCCGCAGCGTGGAGAACTGCACTAGGCCTGGGAGGAAAGCACCACGCGGCATCGGCCGTCTGCAGGATGAAAACCAGCCCTGGAACTCTGGCTTGGCCCCGGAAAGGCCCCCGTGTGGCCACAGGTCCCAGGGATCCAAGCACCGCTGAGCCCCTCCCTTCATGCATCCCAACAGCGAGGGGGCAGCTGCTGTGTCATCTCATTAGAGGTCTGGCAACAAGCGAACCCAATTGGTGACACGGGGCCCGCCCAGAGGGAGGTGGGGGCGGGAGAGGCGGAGAGCACAGCTCAAAGCCAAGGCACTCCCGTCCTTCGTTCCAGCCACCCAGCTCGGCTCCGTGATGGGCTGAACTGTGTCCCCAAAGTTCATATGCTGAAGCCCTGACCCCGGGTCCCTCGGACTGCGACTGTGTTTGGAGCCAGGGCCCATAAACAGGCGCTTGAATTAAAATGGGGCTGCCGTGAAGGTGGGCCCTGATCGGCCCGACCGGAGTCCTCTAAGAAGGGGACGTGGGCACACAGAGACACGGGGGATGAGTCCACAAGGGCCATGAGAGGACACGGTGAAAAGGGGGCTGTCTTTAGGCCCAGACGCCCATCGGGACCCGGCACAGCCCGGCTGGGCCGCAGGCTGTCACCCTGGGGGACTTGCTCCCAGCACTGCGGCTCCGCCCGGCCCGGGCCTCACCTCGCAGTGGTTGTCCAGCTTGGTCAGCGAGATGTCCATGCTCTGGTGCTGCTCCTTCAGCTCGTCGAACCGCGCCTGCCAGCGGTTCAGCTCCAGCTGCGAGTTGTTCAGCGAGGTCTTCAGCTCCTTGGTGTGGGCGTGCAGCTCCTCATACTCCCCCTTCAGCTGGTGGTGCAGGAAGTTGACCCTGGGGGCGGAGAGCCAAGGGCAAAGGGGCTGAAGAGGCTCGAAAGACGTAACGGCCCCAGCTCCGACAGTGGCAGGCTGTGCAACCTTGTACAAAAATCACAACCTCTCTGGGCCTCAGTTTTTTTCACGTGTAAAATGTGGGGGTTGAACAAAGTTGCTGGTTTTCAAACTGTGTTCTTTAGGGTTCCATTAGGTACCCCTGGTGCCAGCACATGGGGCCTAGGGGAGACCGAGCAGGCAGGATCAGACACCTGTGTCAACAGAGCATCACTGCCACCATCTCTTCTACGTTACAGAACTGGCATCCTGCGTACTTGGAAAAAAGGATTCTGCTGTTAAAAAAAATGTTTAAACACTGGACCAGGGCATTTTTATGCTAAAATTCTATGTTTCTGCCCAGCTCTTCTTTCTGATTCCAAGCCCCTTTCTAATTTCAACTCCTAGACAAAATAAGAGACAGTGAGTATCATGTAAACCTACCAAAATTGTCATCATGATGATAGCTATTATCTAACTGGGGTTTCTCAGATTTTATCCAGAAAGCTGAAATTACCAGGGGCCTGAAGACTCGATTTGGACACAAATGTGTCTTACTCGGCCTGTATAATTCTATTTGTTAAAAACGAATTATTTTGCCAACATTTAAAAATTTGGAAGTTTCACATCGACATCCAAATACCCAGGTTCTCTTAAAAAAATGCAAAACCAAAGGCTGACCTGGCAGCCCCGGGCCTGCCTGCAGCCAGCTCTCGCCCACCCTGTTAGATGGCACTAGTGTCCGTTTTACAGTCCGTGCTCTGTGGCTGGCACCGCCACCCACGTGCTTTACCTGCCTGGTCACTGGAGGCACCTGAGTTTGGGACCCCCGTGTACAGCGACAAAAGGACGAGGGAGCAAGAAGAGCTTTACACGGTTAAGCCTTTGGGGTGAGACAAGACCTGGATTCTATCCTGACTCTGCCATTAACTGGAAACATTGACCCTGAAAAAGTTATTAAATCTCTCTGAACCTGTTTCCTCATCTTAAAAAAAAAAAAGAAGAGAGAAAAAAAAGGGGGGGTTTAAGATAATAACAGTACTTTCTTTGCTCATTATTGACAGTAGTCATGTTCTATAAATTCGCTGCAAACATGGAATTAGTGAGTACAGACCATCATGCCTTAGGGAAAACACGGGGCCAGGTTCTTGGGAGCCTCTGGTCGACTGATCAGCACGCAACCTTGCTCACGTGCGTTTCTGTTTAAAGACACCCCATGTAACACGCTCACAGCCAACAGTGCTGTAACTCACGCCTCAACAAAGCCTATCTAACACACGTGTTTTCTCCGTGAGGCATATCAGAGCCTTCTTATGCTTAGGAGCACTAGACAGCACAGAAGTACTATGCGTGGGGGCCGTTTTAAGCAGCAAAAGCACAAAACACGAAAACCAGGCACTGAGGAGATTTTGAAAAGGACGTTTGCTTGCAGCAGGAGAACTGAAACAAGGCAGAGCATCACCTTGCTTGACCTCCGCTGGGAACACGCACATCTGGAGACCAATACTTCACGGCTCTGTGCACGTCCACGAACGCCCCACGAGTACTGATCTCGGCGTTACAAGTAAACTTTAGCAAGCAGGTAGCTCACAAACGGAGATCTGTGAATCGTGAGGATCGGCTGTACCTTCCTCATGAGAATGTCGTGGGCTCACGTCAAATAATGGACACACCTGTGCCTGACACAGCTGTCAGCGTAGGGGTGGGAGGTGAGAGCCACCAAACATCAACAACACACTGTCCCCAGGTATCACTTGAGTCCTCGCATCCCAGCAACCAGCCAGAGTTACCCTTCACTTTGTTACCTACCCAGCTATTTACATGAACAAGTTCATAATAGGACACGACAGCCAGGAATCGTGTGACCTTCTCCTAGCAGTTGCTAAGTGAGACTGGTCTGCGCAGGATCCTGGCACCAAGTGCCGCGGCACGCAGGGCCGGGCAGGGTCACCGTGGCGCCGGCACCCACCTGTCCAGCTCCCCCCGCAGCCTCTGGTTCTCGCCCGCGGTGACGGCGTTCGTCCTCTGCTCCTGCTGCAGGGCCTCCCGCTCGGCCGTCAGGACCTTCTCCAGCTCCTCCAGCTCTGCCTTGCGCTTCAGCATGTCGCCGTGCCTGCCGGAGGGAAACAGGCTGCTGGGAGCCCGGCCTGGGCCTCCTTTCCCTACAGGTAACTCACGCCCCACACGACCTGGACGACGCCTCTAAGAAAGTGGATTCCTCTGGAGGCTTCTCTGCAGAAGGGACGGGGACAGGGCAGAGCGCAGGGGGGGATGGCAGCTGGATGGCAGAGAATCAAGGAGCCGCTGCACGGAGTGTGTCTGGGCCAGCACCTGGCCCTGGGGCTGAGGATCTTCCTCCCCGGCCCCATCCGTCCCCACAGTCCCCTCGAACCCCTGTCCCAGCAGCGTCTTCCTTCAGCCACCTGGCAACGCGATGATTACATTTTCTGAACTCCATGCCCTTCTCTTTGAGGGAATTATAAACAAGCTACTAGGTGGTTCACTAAACACAAACAGATCTAAAAGGAACCACAACATAAACAGCCGGATTCCACTCACATAACAGACAATCCCTCCCCCTTCCCTGGGTGCTCGGGTCTGCTTGGTCTCAGCTGCCCCTCCCGAGGGACAGATGCTTGCCCAACGGCTGCCAGCAGCCAGTAGTTGTCACACACACACATACACAAGCGCACACACACACAGTACTTCTCAGGGCCCCTCCACCGCAGCCCTCACCTCCTCCCACAGCTTTTACCCTCCCCTCCTCCCCTCCCCTCCCTCCCCTCCCCTCCCCTCCCCTCCCGGCTTTGACTTTCTCCTCCAGACTCCTCCGCAGGCTGCACAGCCGGCGCTGGAGGGCAGCAGAGCACAAGGACAGAGTCCGACAAGCGCAGGCCCTTCCTCCTCCCACTGTGCTGGAGCCTTCTGTGTTCATGATGACCCGGAGCTCCTCCCAGTCCAGGGGGTGCACAAGGACTGCAAGTGGTGAGGGGTCTGAGGCACGACCCTGGATCTTCCCTGTTCAGGCGAATCCCTCTCTAGAGTCCCCTTCCTTTCTGAGCGTTTCACACTCAGACACGGTCTGACAGAGACTGGCCAGCGTTCCAGGGAACCCAGCCTTTATCTCCAGAACTCCACCCCGCCACAGCCGGAGCCCAGACTCCAGCTTGGTCCCGGGGAACCAAACTCAGAAACCTGCTCAGGCAGCTGCTAGAAGACACACGTCTGTGTGGCCTTTCGCCATCATCGTGGCGAAGCACACGGCTTTCAGAGTGATGACCTTTCTCATCCGGGCTGATGATTCTGGAAAAATTATCCAAGTTTGACAAACAAGGGCCACAGGCTACCCGTTAAGTTTCCCCATCTCCTGAGCCCTTGGACATCTTAGAGACACTCATTGTCCAGGCACGTCTCTAACCAGTGGTGACTCCCAACCCTATGCTCACCACCGAGTCAATCCCCTGTACAAAGAATGATGCACAGGGAATATTTGTTAGAGGAATGAATGGCTGACCTTGTCTGATTTAAGTGTCAAAAGGAGAGAATACAGAGCCATCGCCCCTGTGCTCCAAATGCCTGCACTATTAAACCTGCATTCCTGCTGCACAGACCAAGGGGCCTCTAGTCACCCGTCCACCCATCCAATCAGCAAAAAGTACTAAGTAACCACTCCATGCTGCATTGAGCAAGGAACTGCAGGGAAAACAACACCTGTGAAAACCTTAAAGAACGGACATTAAGAATCACTAGGACATTGTTATAATATAACAGGACATTAAGAGCGAGACGCTTCCGTACACGCCTGCTGAGAGGTGGGCGTCGTGCTGGTATAAGACTCGTGTGAATACTTTTTGCTCCAGTTCATTAGTCAACTGGGTGCACCCCTACCATGTCTAGACACAGCGCCGTGTATACAGCAGATATGCAATAAATGCGGCATGAATACAGGATGGGTGGAGAAGGCAGAGATGGAAGGAGCAGAGTCTCACAGGTGCAGATGCAGCCCCTGAAGGACAGGGATCTGGATGGGGACCGGCTGGAGAACTCCAGACAGGGGCAAAAAGGAAGCATGTGGTGGGTGAATAAATGAATGTCACCACCACCCACATACCCATGAGCATCATATAAGTGCCACTTGAGGATTTTCTGGCTCCCTACAGTGGAAACATCCTGCCCGCTCCCAGGTTTGCATCATTATCTTTTTTGTTGTTGTTGTTGTTGTTTTTTGAGACAGAGTCTCGCTTTGTTGCCCAGGCTAGAGTGAGTGCCATGCCATCAGCCTAGCTCACAGCAACCTCAAACTCCTGGGCACAAGCGATCCTCCTGCCTCAGCCTCCCGAGTAGCTGGGACTATAGGCATGCGCCACCATGGCCGGCTAATTTTTTCTATATATTTTTAGTTGGCTGTTTAATTTCTTTCTATTTATAGTAGAGATGGGGTCTCGCTCTTGCTCAGACTGCTTTCGAACTCCTGACCTCTAGCAATCCGCCCGCCTCGGCCTCCCAGAGTGCTAGGATTACAGGCTTGAGCCACCGCGCCCGGCTGCATCATTATCTTGCTGAGGCTGCATCCGCGGAAATGCCGTCAGCAGGGCCATTCACAAGCACAGAGAGTGGATCTCCTGCCCTCTGCTCTACTCCAAGCATTTGAGAGTCTCTCTTTAGATGTGCCTCTCTTGGGTGTTAGATTCAGGTGCATGTCACATCCCCCCTCAGACTACGGGAGCAGATCCTGTCCTCCCCTTCCCTGGATCCTGCCGCACCTGCCCAGGTGCCTGGGACCATCAGTGGTTTGCACAGAGCAAGAGCTCAGCTGTCGTTGCTGAACTAATGAATACAACACCCAAGCCTGAGCTGTCAAGAGTGCAAAGTCAAGATTTGTGCGTTTTACCTTAAAAAAATAAAATAAAATAAAATAAAAGAATGTGAGGTGGAGAGTAGAGAGTGGGAGGCAAAGACAAAACAAGAGCGGAAGGACATAGATGACATGGGTACTGGGGCACGGGTTCACGGGGGTTGCACTACACTACTCCACTTACTTTCCACATATTCAAAACTTCCCATAGTTAAAGGTTAAAATTTTTAAAAAAGAAGGCAGGCCAGGCTCTGATACAGAAGAGGCGGCCAGGGAAGCTAGACAAGCACATCCTTGAACACTGGTGGCCACAGACAATTTCCTCCTTATTTCTGCTTTAGGGGGGTGGGGTAAATGGAGAGAAGGAGAGAATCCCTTCTAAGGCCCCTAAGGCCAGGAGGGGCTTCCCCAGGAGGGAGGAGCCACAGCAACCCTCCCCCCTCAGTCTCCAGCTGCACAAATTCCAAGTTGCTGAAGGTGACGTTCTATTTCCTTCCCTTTGGGAAAGCTCAGGTGCCCCAACAATGGGAAGCAGTGGGCCAAGAGGAAACGCGGGGGTGGGGGTTGGAGCCCCAGCCTTTCGCAGCCCCGCAGCTGGCCCAGGCCCCGCCCACCTCTCGGGGTCCCGCCCACCTCCCCAAGCCCCGCCCCCAGGCCGCACCTCTCCCCCAGCTCCTTGTGCTCCAGCTCCAGGTTCCGGTGCAGCGTCTTCAGGCAGCTGTGCTGGCGGATCAGGGCCTCGTACTCGGCGGACTGCCGCTCGTGCAGTGCGCCCAGGTGCTCGTGGTCCTGCAGCAGGGCCTCGTAGGCCGCCGTCAGCTGCTCCTGCTGCTTCTGCAGGTTCTCGTTCTCCGTCTCCTTGGCCGTCTGCTGGTTCTGCAGCAGCGTGTACTGTGCGGTGAGCGCGGCGCTCTGGGAGCTCAGGGTGGAGTTCTCCACCTGCAAGAGGGAGACGGTGCAGGCCTCACCCTGTGCGCACACACGGGAGCCCAGGTCCCCACAGGCCACGGTGAGCAGGGCCAGGGAGCAGGTCAAGCGCTCCAGGAAGACGGGAAAATAACTGGGACCCTCAGGGCAGGCAAGGCCCAGGAGGAACGAGGACAGCTGTACCAGAACTTGAGGACCTGCCCTGGGGAGGGGTGGACTATCGGATGGTACCGTGGTCCTAAGCCACTCTACACATGTGAGCTTTGGGGGTATTGTATGTGCTTTCTCTGGATAACCTCCTAGTGTTCCCTCTCTGTATGTATTTAAAAGCCTATTTTTCTAGACCAAGTAGACAGAACATCTGTAAGGATACAGACTGCCTGAACAACACTATCAGCAACATAAGTTGCATCTACAGAAGGCTCCATCCAACAACATCCAGAATCACAAGGAAATTGAAGAGAAGGGAACACTTCCCACATCATTCTATGAAGCCAGAATCACCATGATATTAAAACCCAGACAAAGACTTTACAGGAAGAAATAAACCAACAAACCAGTATCTTATTTTCTTGTTTTAACGAACAGATCCCAACCTCTCTGCCAAAGTTTCCTGCTCATTATCCCTGTCCTGTAAGTTACATATCTTCAAACTCTTCTCAGAGACGGCATTGATAAAGGATAAATTCATCTTCCCACAATCTACTCATCATAACCAAGCAGCAGCATCTGTCCTGGGGGGCACAGACGCTGGTTCTGCCGGCCACTCCCAACGGCCCAGCGGCCACTTCAGAGCCCAATTCCCTCTTAGGGATTAAAAATTCACATGTGCTTATTAAAAAAGGCTCTGCCAGGTTCTAATGTAAAGAAACCTGGTTAATTCTGTTTAACCAAATTCATCGGATCCCCAAACCTCTTTTCCAAGTCATTCCTAATTACGTTTCAAGGAACAGACTTTGGGAAACATGAACAAGCCTGCAAGGAAAGGCAGAGAAATGAAGTTTTTCACCTGTGCAGCAACAGGTCCCACCACTGCAGATGGCTCATCAATGTGATACCACCACCTTTGCAGATCAACTATTTATGAGACCATTACAATAATAACAAAACAAAGCCCCAAACTTCCCCCATAGTCTTGCTGCTGCTTAGGGGAAGTCCTGGTTCCCTCGTTAGTCTCTCAGAGGCGCAGATAAACATCCGCACGGGGCTGTGACCTGCTGGCCCGGGAGCCACGCGCTCACCTGCAGCTTGGCCGTCTGCGTCTGCAGCGTGGTGTTGTGCTCCTGCAGGAAGGCGCTCTGTTTCTGCAGCGTCAGCATCTGACTGCTGAAGGCCACATTCTGAGTCTCCAAGTGCTGTAGCTGCTCCTTGAGCAGCTGCTTCTCAGCCTGCAGAGCCGCGTTCTAGAAGATGGGGAAGCATGAGCCAATCAGACCGGCTGGGAAGATGCTAACTGGTCACAGGTCCCTGGCTTGTAACAAACCCCCGAGAGTCAGTGCTTTGGGGGCCAAAGCCAGGGTCCACTGGGTGAAGGAAATACCATTTTTCCTCAACAGAATTTAAAAAAACAACAAAAAAAAAAGACCACACACCCTGGAGGACACTGTACTGCACCTGAGTACATGAGTGGGAGGCCAAGGCACACTGGAGTTAAAGCCACTTCTTCCTTTCTCTCTTTAATGCTTTTCTTTGTTTTCTGCTGAACACCCTGAGAGTGCATTTCAGTAAGCCAAATCCATCTCCCCTTGACAACAACCCCAAGTCTCTCATAGGACAGGAAGGCAAAGCCTTAGTATACAGCTTCGCCCTACTTAGGAGTGCCGGCAGGTAGAATAAGGAGCGTCGTGTTACAAGAGACTAATAGAGACCATGTAAAGTATGCCAAAAACTGGGCTAGAGGTCAGGAGCCTTGGGCCATAGTCTTGTACTATCCCTTATTAGCACAAGACTTTGGGTCAAGTCTCTTAAATTCTAACCTGACAAATAATGAAACTTACCCCTAGGGACTTTGTAAAGTCACTGTTGAGAATCAGATAAAACTAGAGGTATAGAGATACATTAGCAAACTTATTCTAAAAGGACCAGACAGTAAACACTTTTGGGTTTGCCAGCCACGTGGTCTCAGCCTCAACCACCTAACACCGTCCCACGGGCAGGCAGGCAGCACCGCACCAGTGCGGGAGCTAGCGAGTTTGCCCCGTGTCAGAAACACTGAAGGCACCTCCACCTGGACAACTCAAGAGGTATCCAGCTAGATCTGGGCAAATCTCAGCAGACTCTGATGTCCTGTGTTCCTTACAGTGAGGACACACTATCAGTGGGACCACTCATAGGTCTCCCCCGAGCCACGGCAGCCGGGGCAGCCCACTCACGTTCCGCTCCAGCTCAATGGCCCGGTCCTTCACCCGGAGCAGCTCCATCGTGGCTTCCTTGTGGCTGGGTCCCCAGGTCTCCTTCCCCTGACTGCCAGCGACCGTCTTCCCCACGGGGTGTTTGAAAGAGTTCTGCAGGTGCTTCCCCTCTTCCTGGCTCTGCCTGAGGGTCTCGCACTCCTTCTGCAGCTGCAGGGCCCGGCAACAAGAAAGCAGACTTCAGGCAGAGAGGAAGCCGCGCCCAGGGCCCCAAGTCAGTGGCTGGAGGGTGGCCCATGCCAGCCCTCCACGCTCCCGGCCACTGCCCTCCCTCGCGTGTGACACGCCAGACACGCTCTGTTTTGCTTATGAGGGGAGAGCACATGAGCTCTGCCCTCCATGATTCCCCTTTCCCTTCCAGAGATGACAGGCAGGGCAGGGGCCTGCGACCCATTCCTGCCACATCCCTCCTTTAGCCACGTGACTGCGGCGAGTCTTCTTGCCCCCCTGGACCTCAACTGTCCATTCCACAAAACAGAGGTGAGTCTGAGGAACAGGGACCAGGTACCTTCTAAAGCCTCTGCAGACATTAGAACTGCTTTGCTCCAGATTCCTACTCATTCCTGCAACCAGGAAAGGTGGCCCACGTTCAAAGAGGAGGAATGGGAGGGTATGTGTGTAAGGGGGGAGCGTGTGCACACACAGAGAACATGTATGGGTATGCATGGAGTGCATGTGTGCTGAGAGCAAGTGTGTGTGTGAAAAGCATGCGCGTATGTATGTGTGGAGAACACACATATAAATGTGTGGAAAGCACCCATCTACACACATGTGGAAAGTGTACACACATATGTGGAGAGCACATGTGCACTGTCTAGCCCACCTGCGGGCTACTGCTAGGTGCCTGTGGCTTGGTTTTGCATGGAGCTCTCCAGGGGTGCCCCCAGCCCCCACCTGGCAGACTTGCTGCTGCTCTGAGCCACCGCCTCCTCTCCCTGCAGGCCTCTGGCCCTGACTCTGGCTCTGTGCTGCCCCCACACATGTGATTCTGATGGCGGCCCGTCCCCGCCTGCCCCAGGAAGTCTGCCACACAGACGAGGGGCTGGAAAGGGCGAGGCAGAGACCGACAGCGCGGGCCCAGCGCTCAACTGCACGGCAACAGCTCTTACCGTCTGGAGATCGTTCTGCAATTGGTGGTTCAAGCTCACTTTCTCTTCCATCTGCGCTTCCAAGAACACAATCTTTTCTTCTTTCATGGCCAGTGTTGTTTTCAATGCTGATTCATTTCTGCCCTCCAAAATCTTGTATTTTCTGAAAAATGCAAAGGTATAATAGTATCATTTATCACCTCTTCACCCACAAGCTCCCAGTCTCCTAACTGCCAACACACCTCTCCCTCCATAAAGCCGGTTTCCTTCACCACCTTGCAGATTCAGTTGAGAAATCGGGAGCCCAAACCCAGCCGTCCATAGCCCTCAACAGGGCCCCCTAGTAGACACACCTGTGACACCTTCAAACACACCACCACAGATACAGTTTTACAGTCAGTCTTAAGGGGTATTATCATATTATGGCCATTTTACAGATGGGGAAACTGAGTCTCACGTTAAGCAATTTGCCCAAAGCCACAGTGCTAGCTAAGTGGTAAGTCCACAGCCTTTCCACTAAAAAGGTATCCCATTACCAGGCATGCGCATCTTGTTGGTTACAATCCTGGAAAAGTCCAAGATACTGAATGTCCTTGAAAAATAAGGTAAATTTAAGAAAGCACTGCAGGGAAAAGCTGCAATCGTCGAACTTTTTAAAAAATTGAGAAGACTTTTTACGAGACAAAAATCTCTTTCCGGGCCGGGCGTGGTGGCTCACGCCTGTAATCCTAGCACTCTGGGAGGCCGAGGCGAGTGGATTGCTTAAGCTCAGGAGTTCTAGATCCGCCTGAGCAAGAGTGAGATCCCGTCTCTACTAAAAGTTAAAAAAAAAATTAATTGGCCAACTAAAAATAGAAAGAAAAAAAAAATCTCTTTCCGCACCTGCCTGAGAGCGCCTTAAGGAACAACACCTGGAATATGAGGGCCATGGGATGGGCTTAAGGAACCGCGTGAGGACGGCACCCTGGGTTGTGGAGAGCAAGTGGAGGTCTCAGGCCGAGGCCTGGAGCCTGCAGACCACATAGCAGCGGGAAGAGCTCCCGTGGCAGAGGGGACGCCCTCACGTGTCACCGTTGCTGTTGTCGTCCTGCAGCAGCAGCTCCTTGCTGAGGCCGACCTTCTCCAGCTCCTGGCCCAGTTTGTCCAGCTCACCGCTCAGCTGCTGGCTCTTCAACTTCTCCAGCACCAGGTCCTGCAACGACAGCGAGACAGGCGTGTGGGACGGGGGCGCAGCAGAAACCCGGCGGAGAGGCCGGCGCCAGCCTGGCTCAGGGCTGGCAACCGTCTTGCCAGGTCACGGCTCACTGCTGCCTCGCTGGGGGAACCCTGAGCCTCAGGGAGGCTCCTCCCGCAAAAAGGGAATGAACACACTCTTCCGGCCCTCCTGGCACTGGAAACAACCAGACCGCGTGGACCGTGCTGAGGGCGGCGCTAACGGGCTGCTCCCCTAAGACGTGTGTTTGGAATGCCACTTATGTTGACCTCTGAGTAGCAGGTTTGGTTTCTGATAGTACGAATGCCTTTCTATGGAGCAACAAGTAATTAAATGCTCACCGCAGACATGCTGAAACAGACAGAAAAGAAGTATGAAGAGGGGAAAGATTTTATTTCAAACTCTGGCTTTGGTCTACTTTTCAGAACCTGGTGCTGAACTCACGTGGGTGGCTCCCCTCCTCCATGCCACGCTCCTTCAGCCCCTCTCTGCGGCTCTCTAGCTAGTGACCACTCTCTGCCTGGTGTCGCGGCTACTCACAAGCATGCTCATCCCTCCTGCAGAATCCTAAGACCTGCAGTGGCCGTGTGGCAGAGGCAATGCTCACCATCTACTCCCCCAAATTTCCCAGTCACCCTGTGTCAGCTGAAGGCGGGTGACCAGTCCCAGCCCAGGGGCTGTGGGTGGGAGTGACGTGGGGGCACTCGCTGGCTGAAGCACAGAAGAGCGTGTGTGTGACACTCCAGCTGCCTTTTCACCTGCCAAAACACGGCCCTAGCCTGCTGTTGAGCTGGTGGAGCCGAGAGATCAAACAGCCTGGACTGCCGATGGCAGCACAGAGGACGGACCCGGCGGAGAGTCCCCTGGCCCCGGCGAGTGAGAGGTGGGCCTTTGCTGTGCAAGCCGCGGGGATCCTGGGGCTGTTGGTTACTGCAGCACAGCCTAACCCCAGGCTTACAGAGACAGGGCCAGGACGCGCATTCACAGCTGGGATCTCTCGCCACGGCTCACTGACTTGCTCGCAGTTAGTCACACATCCTTCCCGAAGGTGGAGTCCACTCTGCATGCACCAAAGCTGATGCGGCACACAGCACCCTACGCTGGGTGTAGCTGTGTTTCTGAGCTCTGCCCACGAAGTGTGATACTACATGCACAGGAGCCAGAGGAAGACCCCGCTGGGGGTGGGGCGGGGAGGGGGGGTGCCGAGCCACAAGGTGGCAGGAGCCAGGCAAGGGAGCGTGGCCTTAAGTAGAACGATTCAGGTACCTGCTTCTGCCACGCGGGCTTCTCTCGGTGTGGGACAGCCCCCCACTAAATTCCTGCATGCGTGAGACTAAACTCGCGCCAGGCCACGCAGATGCCTAAGTCACTTCCTAGAGCAGCTGTTCACGCTAACGCCTCAACAAACGCTCCGGTGCGCCATGCGAAGGGTACCAGGGCAAAGCAGGAGAATTTTAAATCCATCAGGAGATCCTGTAATTCCATTTCTAGGAATGTATTTTAAGAAAATAGCTTGACATATTCATGATGGTGTACGTGTATGCAAAGATGTCCAGTGTTACTTAATAGTGGAAAATACTGGAAAGCACCTAAATGTCCAAAAAACAATCACAGTAAACCTACAGGATCAACCTACAGGATCTTGAAGCCATTGAATACTTGTGGCTTTAAAGCCCATTCCATAAGACATAATGGATAAAAAGCAGGACAGCCCCCTGCGTGCACCGCGTGTGGAGCGTGTGTCTGCTCACACGCACGCACAGGGGGAGATGACGGAACGACACCAGCCCAGCACCGGGAGCGATCCTCTCTGGGCAGGAGGACTGGAATACGCGGTGTTCCCTGGGCGCTCAGGCCTTCAGGTGTTGCTCTGAGAATCGGGGAGGCATTCGAGGAGCCCAGAGTCCCACTTCTCCCCTGGAGCCCTGCCCGCCCGCCACCCTCCCTCGGAGGGGCCGCCTGCGCCCGCTCACCTCCCGCAGGGCGGTCAGCGTCCTCGTGTGCACGATGACCTGCTTGGTGAGGTCCCTGTTGTCCTTCTCCAGCTCCTTCAGCTTGCCGGCCGCGTCCCTGCAGCGGGCCAGCTCGCGGTCCAGCGCGCGGTTCTCCTTCTCGGCGGCGGACAGCTTGGCGGAGCTGTCGTCCAGCACGGCGTCCTTCAGCTCCACCTGCTGCCACAGCCGCTTGGCCTCCTTCTCCAGCAGCTTCCTGTCCTTCTCCAGCTGGGCCACCTCCTGCTCCAGGGCCTTCTTGTCCCGCTCGGCCCGCTCCAGCTGCGCGCCGGCCAGCCGCAGGGCCTCCAGCTCCCGCCGCAGCGCCTGGTGCTCGGCCTCCAGCTCGCCCAGCTCGCCCTCCAGGGCCTGCGCCCTGCGCCCGCTGCTCTCCAGGCTCTGCTGCAGCCGCACGTTCTCGGCGCTCACGCTCTGGTAGCTGAGCTCCAGGCGCTCCGACTTCTTGCCCAGCGCCTTCAGCAGCTCCACGTTCTTCCGCAGCTCCTCCTTCTCGCGCTCCAGCTGCTGGTTCTCCCTCTCCATCTGCGCCATCCTGGCGCTGGTGAAGCGCATGGCCTCCACCACCTTGCGCAGCTCCAGGTTCTCCGCGTCCAGCTGCTTGTTGTCGCGCTCCAGGCCCTCGAGCTGCACCGACACGTTCTGCAGGGTGTCCAGGGACTTCCTCAGCGTCCGGTTCTCCAGCTGCAGGCCCTGGCTCTCGTGCTCCAGGGCCGTGGCTTTCTCGGTGGCCGTCTCCAGGGAGGTCACCTTGCTGGCCAGCTGCGCGTTCTCCTCCTGCAGCCGCTGCAGCTCCCCCTCCAGCCTCTCCGCCCGCTGCCCCTTCTCCCTGGCCTGCTCCAAGTCCTTGTGCAGCTGCTGCTTCTCGAACTCCAGCTGGCTGAGCTTGCTGCTGGCCTCTGTCACCGTCTGGTGGAGGGCTTTGTTCTCCTTCTCCACGTCTTTCACGCGGGCCTCGCTGCTCACCTGCGACCTCTCCCGCAGCGACCACACCGCTCGGTTGAGGTGGTCCTTTTCTTGCTCCAGGTCCTTGATCTGTGGGAAAACACGACAGGCAAAACCCAGGCTGCTGTGTGAAGCTGCTTCGGCAACGAAGGTTCACACCAGGGAACTGGAAAGCGGAGGCCTTGAACGACCGGCCAGCCTACCTGTGCCCAGACGCCGTCCGTAGGCTCCCCAGAGGCCTGACGTGGACTCAGGTGAGCAGGCACAGGCATGGTCGCTTAAGATGGCTCAAGTCAAAATATACTCAGGAGCAACCAGGATAGCTTTAAAATGTAACCTACATCTCTCTCCCTCACTTGAAAGTTTCAGCAATCTTCCCTTGTACTTTTGGTTATGGGACCACGACCCTGAAGACTGGCCCTGCCCACCCCTGCGGCCTCCTCTTAGGCCACTGCCCCGCCCCTTCCTCCTAAAGACACTTTACTTTGCACATGCTGTTCCCTCTGCCTGGAGTATTTTCCCCAGGACTCCAGCCCCACCAGCCGCTTCTCATCCTCAGGGTCGGGTCCACAAAGCCGCCTTGCGTGACAGCTCTGAGGTGGCCCTGCAGCCCAGGATTCTCTCCCTCAGCAGCACACACCTGAGATCGCCTCGCCTGTCACCTTTGTCTTCCTGGCTGAGCTCCACCTGGGCGAGGCCCCGCCTGTTCACTGCATGCAGGGCCATCCCAACCCTCTTCTCCCGCTTACTCCTCTACTAGAGAGGCTGAAAAACTAAACCCCAGAACTCCCACCTCCCTTGTAGACAGAGACAGTCTGGCTGAGGTGACGTGTCCAGAAGGTCCTTGGGAGGACCCCCCTGTGCGCCCCCCTCCTCCCTGCACTTTGGGGTGTGCGGCAGCCATCGCTAAGGCCGGCAGGGCGGTAATCGAGAGGCCTGGTTCCTGAACGGCCTCACCGAGCCACTGCACAGCCCCGGGCTGCCTGCCCTGGGACTGCTCGGAGGAGGTAGCAAATAAAGCCGTGTAGGTTTGCCAAGGTTCTCAGCCGGGACCCTTTGGACATGTGCAGCCGGATCATTCTTTGTCGTGGGGAACTGCACCGTGCACTGTGAGCGTGTGGCAGAATCCTTGGCCTCCGCCCACTCCCTGCCAGGACCACCACCCCTCTTCTCCCCCAAGTCGTGACAACCAAAAATGTCTTCAGACTTTGCCAAACATCCCCTGGGGGGCAACACCCGGCCACCTTTCCCCACCGCCAGTGAGAAGTGCCGGTTTAAGCTGCAGCTGAGCGAGGTGGCTGATACCCGTGCATCCGCGGCGCATTTCCAGGGGTGGCCCAGATCCTCCGCTCCCTCCCGCAGGGCAGGGCTCCGGGGAGGCGCTAGCTGTGGGGACACCCACCTGCCGGGCCCTGTCGGCCTTTAGGGCCTCCATGTCGCTCTGCAGCTGCTCCTTCTCTTTGATCAGCTCCTCGCTGAGGGTCTCCAAATCCTGGTTGCTCTGCTTCTCTCTCTCCAGCTGCGTCTGTAACTTCTCGATCTGCGGAGCCAGATCGAGACCCAGCCCGGTGCGGAAGTCGGTCTCGCCAGGTGAGCCACGTTTTGAAACGAAACCAAACCCTCTCAGCCCCACAGAGCACTTTAAAGGGCCTTTGCTCAAGGAAACCTCCCTGCAGGGTTCTGTGGGCCTCCTCGCCCCCTCGACCTTCTCCCCTAGAGAGGCCACCAGGCACCCATCTGCTGACGGCCCCCAGCCTCCCTCTGCCTCTTCTACGTGCCCTGTGCTCCACTGCCCACGTCTGCCACCGCAGGCACCTGGAGGAACCTCGCTCCTCCATCTCCCTGGCCTCCTCCCTGAGACTCCCTGTCTTAGTCTGTGACATCACCCAGCTGCTCGAGTGGTCCTCCCTTCTCTTCCACCTCCATGCAAGTGTCTCACCATGCCTCGTCCTTCCTACCCATTCTGCACCCCCTTAATGCCCTCATCGCCTCTGTCCCAGGCCAGGCCACATGTCATCCTACCTGGACAGCTGCCCAGGGATCTCCCTGACACCAAGTTCCTTTGCTAGAATCCACCTGTACCCAACACTCCCAAAGAACAGGGCCTGAGAATCTGCCTTCAACGTGATCCTAGCGACCCTGGGCTGCTGGGTCAGGGCCACCACTCTAAAACCATGGTTTTCAAGGGGAACGATCTGGGAAGCTCTGGAAAACCTGAACCTCAGGCCAAGAGTTAAACCAGAACCTCCGGGGTTAGATCCGGAGATGCCCGGGTGTTTCAGACCTAAGCCAGCTCACAGCCTGGGCCATGCTCAGGGTGAGGTGGGAGAGCTGGGCTGGCTCCTGGGGTCCCCTGTGGGACTCAGCAGGGCCTGGTGGGCTCACTATGGACTGAGAGACGCTAGCTGGGTGGCTGAGGCTGGGAAGAGGAGCTCAGGATGGGCTGAGCTGGCCGAGGGGCAAAGAGGCCGGAATGTGACCCTCTGCTGGTGCTTAAGTGTTCCTCCGTCAATGCCGGGGGGCACCGTCATGTCTTACTGTCCCTGACCTGGGCCAGGCATCGGGACAATAAGACGGTGCAACATGTACAGAGGGTGAAAGAAGAACCACCCTGCCGGGTCAGGCCGGATTCCAGCCAGGCCCAGGGTGGGCTGAGCAGGACTGCTCTCGCCTGGGAACGGCGGCCCCACCCTTCCCGCCCTCCCGACCCCCAGCCACCAGGGAGCCTGTGCCAAGACGTGGCCTCCCAAGGGCCACGCCAGGAGAGGGCTGGTGTCAGGCCATGGAGGCAGGAGGGTGGGACCCGAGGGACGGGGCGTAAGGAGTCATGCTGGGTGGGCAGAGGAGGGGCCACAGCAGACGGGCCAGGGCGGCCACACGCCAGAGAGCCACCCTTGCAGCCTGCTGGGAGGGGACCCACGACACCCCTGGGCCAGCGAGATCACACTGCAGGCTTTCCAGGGCGGGGCCCAGAGGACCCGCAGAGTTGGAAATTCTCGCCTTCCTAAAGGTCAATTCTTCTTTATCGTGACTACGGGTGGACTGCCATGTATGAAGTCATTTCCTGTGCTAGGCCCACGTGAACCTAAGAAACCAAGACGGTCTAGCACTTTCCCCACACTGCCCCGCATCAGAAGATGTGGCCCGAGACGCGGGTGTTTTCTGTTGTCCTATAAGGAGATGACAAACCACTTGGCGGCTAAAACGCTGCAAGGCACACGATGCTCCAAAGGGACCAGAGTGAGCAGCCCAGCAGGGGAGGTGCCAGGAGGGGAACCCGAGGGCCCAGCTCACAGAAGGGGGGCGTGTCCCCCAGCTCACTCAGAGGCGAGGAAGCAGCAGAGCAGGACCAAGGGGACCCAGGAATCCTGCCTGCAGCTCACACTCCTCCCGCAGCCTGTGATGCCCCAGGACACGCCACCGCCAGGACTCGTGAGAAGGCTGGGAGAGACCCAGACGTGCCCGTCCCACGTGGTGCTCAGCCAGTAGGAGGGTCTCGCCTCCTCCCTCAGCTGGAAGCTGCCAGCTGGCGTGTCCAGAGCCCACCATGCACCTGTGCCATCCTCGGTGTGGCCCAGGTGGATCTGATGTCCTCTGATCCTCTAGGCCACCCCCAGCCTCCCAATGGCCTGAGACCGAATCCTCGCATGAACGGGCAACCTCCAACTGCAGAACAGGACTGGCTGTACACGTGTCCGCTCTCCGGACGTCTAGGTTCCACTGTGCGACCAGGGAGACCCAGCAGCTGTCCTCAAAAGCAAATACGGTTCAGCTGGCTCTTCTTCTCCGTCCCGTAGACCAAGAGGAAGGGCTGAGCGTGGACTTGTTTTTACCATCAGCAACGCCCTAACATGCTCCTCAACGGTCTCACACACGCACACAGCTCTGCGTCTGGAATTCAGAACCCGCATCAGTGCTTCCTGTCCTTCCCTACTTGACGCCTGTCAGCAGCGCACGGCTGTCTCCATCGAGCGCTTACTCTGCGCCGGCCCCTCACATACACTGGCTCCCGCCACGCTCACGCGCCCGTTAGGTAACGTGACACGGGACGAAATGCACACCTGGTCTCTGCCCACCTTCCTGCCACGAGCTCCTAAAACCTTCAGAATCTCCAAAGTGGCAAGTGTCTTTCGTGTATGCTAGTGAGATGTCCGGGGCTGGGGTTTCCTGGACAGCCTCAGGAGGGGGGCTGGTGGCCAGGGGAACCAACCACGTGATCAGAGGGTTGGCACTTTCAGCCCCACCCCCAGCCCAGGGAGGAGAGAGGGACTAGAAGTGGAGTTAGCCACTAATGGTCAGTGACTAATCAACCGTGCCTATATACAGAAGCCCAAAGGACAAGGTCGGAGAGCTTCCAGGTTGACAACCTAGGCTTGGACCAGCACCTCAAGTGGGGGGGGGCAGTCTTATGTGACTGAGCCCTCAACCTGTGGGGTCTGCGCTAACTCCAGGTGGACAGCGTCAGAAGTGAGCGAAATCAGAGGACACCTGGTTGGTGTCCACTGAGAACCGGAGAATTGCTTGGCGGGGAAAGCCACACATCTGGCGTCAGAAGCGAAGCACCGAGAGCAGAGACGTGGAAGACAAAAAGGTTTTCTTTCCACAGGTAGGCAGGTGGGTATGCCGCCAACCCCACCTCACAGGAGAAGTCACGTGTCTAGCCGAAGCGGGGACAGCCATGCTGCCTCTGACGCTCCTCAGGTGTCACGTGTGCCCCTCTGTTATAAGTGTCACTATACCTGGATGCCGCACTGTCCCAGTGGTGTGTCCTCCCCAATGCCCCAGTGCCCTGCCCGGCCACCTTCCGGCCTGTCTGTCCCAGACAAGGACCGTGGCGGGCGGGCGGGCGTCCCAGGCCTCCGTGCCTCCGCCGCCCCGGGCAGGCCGCGGTTACCTTCTTGCTGAGCTGCTGGTTCTCCTTCTCCAGCTCCCCGCACTTGAGGCTGCTCTCTTCCAGCGACAGGGACGCGTCCCGCAGCCCCTGGATGGTGCTCTGCAGGCTCTGGTTCTCCTTCTCCAGCTTCAGGATGCGGCTGGAGGCGCACTCGTTCAGCTCGAACACGAACGACTTCCTGGAGGCTGGAGCGCAGAGGCCGGTCAGGGCCCGGCGACCTCGGCTGCCACTCTCTGCCCAAGACCTGAGGGGCTGGGGAGGGGCTCCCCCGGGGCAGCCAGGCCTCCCTGTGCCCCTCCACTCCCACCTCACACGGTGCTGCCCCAGGGCCCCTCAGCGGCACAGCTGGCGGCTGCCGGGGGCAACCCGGAGCTCAGGACGAAGCAGGCTCCAGCTGAGGTGCCAGTGCAAGAGTTCAAAGGCTGCAGCACTGACAGGAACCACTTGTTTACCAGGCTGCCCACCTGTCTAACTCAAGGGTCTCGGAGGCTAACAGGTGACGTTTGCCGTGCTTGCTCAGAGCAGTGGGCGTCGGGGCTGCTCGGCGGGGAGGGGCACAAGACCTGACCAGTCGCGTCAGCCGCGGGTGACAGGAAGCTACGCTAGCACCCACGCCTAGCACCTGCCAGCCTGAGTGAGAGCCTTTGCACAGAGATACCTTTTTGTGATTTCATAATTTTACTGGAGAAAAGTGACACAGCACATATGCAAATTGCTCAAAGAATATTAAGCGAAATGAAAGATCAGCTCAAGACAGAAAAAGGCAGGTGTCTACTCTGCTTTGAAGTGGCTCTGATGCAAATGAGGATGGGAGTTCCCGGCCCCCTCCTGCACAAGCAGGAGGTAAATCACAGGTCTTCTTTGGGAGGGAAAGAAAAATGTTTGGGAAGAGCCCTAAAGAGGGATCAGGTTGTTCCAGCCCCCACCTTTCCCATCATTGCACGCAACTCATGTCCTGCAGCCTCACCACCCAGTGCCACTAAGGCAGCGAACCCCACCCCAGCCTCTCACTCAGGGCCCCGGGGCTGTGGGAAGCAGAGGGTGACGGCTCTCACGGCACACACACCAATGTGGAAACAGAATGTGTGTGCTCAGATGCTCATAAGGACTGAAAGGCGTCTGTCTCCCCCTCTGCGTTTCCATCCTCTACCAAGGGAGACAGCACAGACACCCAACAGGCCAGGACATTCTAAAGACCCAAAGCAACAGCAGGCAGGGCGGCAGCGGAGGGGACAGTGTGTCCGTGGCCCTGACCCGGGCCCAGCGCCGATTCACGCATACACGATACACGCACTGGACATACAAGGTCACCTGGAGGGCTTCGTCCCGACTGCACTGCAACTAAAATTAACTTAATCTAAAATGCCTAACCTAAAATAAAACCCCACTAATTCACAACCCGTCACCATTTTGGACAGTTCCTCTGCGGCATTTGTGAAAAAATATTTTTTTATTATGGTGGAATCTATGTAAAATTTACCATTTTAACCATCTTTAAGTGCACAGATCTGGGCATTAGACACATTCACATTGTCCTACAACCATCACCACCAGCCAGCTCTTTTTATCCTCCCAACCTGAAGCTCTGCACCCACAGAGAACAATTTTTAAGGTTCCACAAGTGAAACAAGGGAATTGATTATAAACCTTGTTTCCTCTTCTATAAAAGTCAGTGAAGACTATTAGGCTGACACAACAGTTTATTACTGAGACAACCAATAGTTCTTCACCGGGGCTTCTCTCATCAGCACCCCTGGAGTATAAACAGAGTAACTAGCTGTTTTAAACACACTGCCACACTAGAAAAACAAAAAATCTTTCCCTGGGGCCATGGTGTTTTATTACAAACATAGAATAAAAATTTCAAAAACGAAATGATTCTAATGAAAATTTTGTGGTTTTTTTTTTTATTGTTTTCTGTGCATGAGTTATATGCAACTCACGTGGCGCTAGAATCAATTTTTACACTGCACCCCAACTGAGTTGTATGTGACTCGCAACACACTTATTGAGTTTGTTTTGGAGAACTGAATCTTCATATGCTTCATGAGGCCCTGGGCTCAAAACTAGCGTGAGTTAAATACAATTCACGTGACAGTTAACGTGTTAATAAGGCAGCAGCAATAAGGACAGCTGCCCCCAGTTTGAGCTGAAATTTAAAGAGGTTTAGTACTTGCCCTCGGTCACCCAGCTAACTAGGGGAGGAGCCAGGACTTTAAGTCAGGTCTTTTGACTCAAAAGTGTATTCAGCCTTTGCTTGCATGACTTCATCATTCAAGCCAACATTTATCAACTCCTAGCTAGGTACTAGGAGTTGAGAACACTTAAGAATAAATCTTGGTCATCGACCTTCAAGAGTCACAAGTTATCCTGAATAGTCTGAATCGGTGAGGCAAGAACATTGATCAGGGCCCTGGCAGCCTGCGCCACCTCTCGGCTCCACCAGGGGGCAGCGGACCCCCACGGACTTGGACTTCCAGAAGCAGGGAGTGAAGGGTCCCAGCCCTGTGCAGGCCCCTCAGGCCTGCCCCATGCACAGGTACCAAAGCACGGGCAGAACTAACTTCCTACACACATTAACAGTTTAACTGATTCTAGCTTCGGAAGTGATAGGAGCCCTTGAAAAGAAGAAATATTCAGCTGCTTTCAATAACCTTCCCAACATGCTTAGGAATGTTTTGCAGAATTTTAAAAAGCCACCCCTTAAACAAGCCTAAAGCCCTATCACACTCTACAGTCCCAAGTAAATATGAACTTGCATTATCAGGTGCATGGGACTGGTGAGCGTGTGCTATTTTCAAACACAGGAACTGGCTTATTGTTGGCCAGGCGCTGAGGCTTCCTGCTCAAGGGCTGACTGCTGCCCCGCCCTCCCTTCCCACAACCCACACCTCGCCTCGGGCCAGCGGGCAGCAGAGCAAGTCCAGGCGGGAGAGGAAGAGGCCTAGCAGATCAGCCCAGAACCTGGGTCTCAGGAGCAGCAGCCACTTAGCACCCCCACCCAGGGGGCAAAGAGCAGGCTGCATCCATCCTGCCCAATTATGCAAATGAGCAGAGGCAGTAATGCCCAGGGTACATTTATAGTGGGGATTAGTGACCACTGGGGACGGCTCCTGCCATTCGGGGCTCTCAGCCATCCACAGACGGCCTAAGATGTCCTCTGGGTGTCAGCAGGCTATAATCTAGGAGCTCCTGGAAGTGTCCATATGGGAACTGGGAAACCCGGCCACACTTAATTTGTGTTTAACATCCTGACATCAAGGCTGCCAGACCCCTCGTGTCTCCCTTGGGGAGAACTGTAATGAAACAGTTTCAAATGGCACTTGAAGGAAATCGCATTTACTTGAGGTGAAATGGATGGGCTGACGGGGAGGGTTCAGAGCCAAGGGCTCAGCCTCCCGGAGGAGGAGGTGGCCACGGCCAGGCTGGTCCCAGGCACCCACCGTCTGACAGGTCTGCATTCTTGGACAGCTGCTCCAGCTCCCAGCCGAGGTGGGCAGATTCGTTCATGCTCTGCTTCTGCGCAATCTCGAGGACCATGTTTTCTTCCAGCAGCTCCTCAATTCGTTTCTTATCTGTGTCCCGATCCTAGGGCAGGAAGAGGGGAGGAGTGAGGATGCAGCCGGGGGAACCTTCTGGAAAAGCCCTTTGCATCTACCATGACTCCATGCACCTGCTCACCTCCAAATAAACAGGACTCTGGCACAGGGCCCACCCCACTGTGAGAGGCACAGCCACTAAAAGATACCTGACCTGACTACCTAGCTTGTAAAGAGAGACAGGAGGTCCCTAATTGAATGCTGTCTGAACAAAGTGACACACTGCACAGGGCTTTAATGCAAGCACTACGGTGACAGGCAGTTCGTGGCTCTAGAGCAGACCTCGAAAGAGGCTAAAGAATCATGGCTCTATCCACACCATAAACGCCAGCAAAGACCCTTCTTGCATAAGACACACATGTACGGTCACCCTTACAGAAGAGCAATACAGAAGTCAAATGCTGTTTTGTGGGTGTTAAGTGCTGCCCCCCTCCAGCCCACGGATCTCAGCAAGCCACTCCCCACAGTCAGTACATTACTGGCAACAAACCCAGTAGCTACAATAGCAGAGAGGGGCGTGGCATAAACCTGAAACCGCCCCAATCTGTGTTAAGCGGGTGACCACCCAGCCTGCAGTACCAGTTCCAGGTCGTGAAGTTTAGATTTCAGCTGCAGGTTCTCCTTCTCCAGCTCGTGGACTTTGTCGCCCCGAGTGCGGGCAGCAGTCAGCTGCTCCTCCAGCATGGCCTTGGTTTCAATTAAAATGATGTTATCTTCTCTGAGCTCCTGGTTAGCAAAAACATACACGAGAACCGTCAGATAAAGGCACCTGGGTCATTACAACAGAACTCTTAAAAAAACCGGAGCTCTTGCAGGCATCTAGATTCAAACAAGCTAGAGATAAGCCCGTAACTAAGAGGCAGGAAGTTCTGTCCCCACTTTTCTTATCATCTTCACCTTTTTTCATTAGGCAAGCACAGATAGACTTTCTCTGCTGTAAGAAAGAAAGATCCATGAATCAAGAAAATATCTAAGTTTGGGAAGGCAACCCTTCCTGAACGTCTGCTGTAGCTCACGTGCTACAGGCTCTGGTGCTGCAGGCTCTGACATAACGTCATCGGACAGACAAGTGGGCGCTGCTGACACACACCCGCTGAGCCCCGGTTTCCTTAACGAGGAAGGGGCAGGGCTGAGTCTAGTCCTCTCAATTCAACATTCATCCCACCGATCAGGGTCCTGGGGGGAAAATGGCTATTTAGACAAGCTTTCATTCAATACACAGTTCCTATTTGAATACTTTACGAACATACTCTTGGAAAAGCAAAAGTTCTTGGCCGTTTCCTAGAAATGGGGAGTCTTAAGAGAGTTGAACTGCAGTGTAGCAAAGCGAACAAATTCTAGCCCTGCACATGTGCACGGGTCGGGGGTCCGCCAGATTCTGATTTTTGTCTCAGGCAGTGGCGAAGAGGTCAGGGTGTGCCCCACGTGGCTGCTGCCCCCTTGTCGAGGGCCGTCCTGGTTTTTCTTACCTGTTGAGCCTTTCGAAGCACCACTCGGTATGCTGGAGGGACTTGATTTCCCCCAAATGCCTTCGCAGTCTACACCGAGCCCACCCTGGGAACCTGCCTGCTTCGTCCAGTGGGCAGAGCTTTCTGAGGTTTGTCCTGCTCACAGATTACCGCGGGAGCTAGGCTGGGAGGTTCTACTCTGTGCTCACCTTCCTATGTGGGCCAGAATCCAGGATTCTTGGTGGAGGGGAACCCACACGCTTTCCAGTCAGTGGACACGGCTTTGATCAAAGCCTGGCAGCCGGCGAAGGGCTGGCCATTAAAACTCTGGATTCACCCATGTGCCTTCCCTCTGGCCGTCCCTAGTGGAGACCATGGCTACTCTGTGGCTGGCCCTGCACTCAGCGATCCACACCTGTCCACGTCACTCACTCCTCACAGCAGCCCTCAGAGGGAGGCAGGGACAGTCCTCCCCTGCAGATGAAGGACTAACTCAGGAAAACTTAGGAACGAGCTCAAAGTGACAAACCTGGTGAGGGGCAACGCTGGGGCTTGAACTTGGACTCCAGACTGTGGTCTCTCCACCACCCTCAGCTCCCTAAATAACCATCCTCAAGGGGCTCATGTGTGTAAGAGAGGCACAGACTGCTACTAATGACATTAGCCAAAGCACGACAAGGGATTTCAAGTGGAAAGTAGACCCAGCCTCCCCTCTCTGGTTGCTGCCCCCACTGTTCCCACCCAGCATTCGGGAAGGGTCTGCCCACCAGCACTCCCCAGGATCACTACTCTTAGGCCCTGAGCAGCCACTGTGCAGGCTGCCCCTTCATCCTCACAACCAACTCCTATTCAGCCTTCAAGACCCAGCCTGAGTTGCCCCCTCTGAGAAGTGCTTGGGAATGTACTCCATCCCACCTGCTGAGTCAGGTGTTTGGGCTCCCAGCATTCCCTGGGTCCGCTCTGAACAACAGCTGGCTGGTCTGTCCTCCCGCCCAGACTGGGAACCCCTCGGGGCAGGACTGTCCCTGATTCTGCTCCCTTGAGCCTCACATAAGTGTCCGATAACACTAGTTGGCCAAATCATGCCTGTAGGGTGGAGTCAAAGGTGGCACATAGGGTGGGCCTTGAGGGACTGGGAGACTTGACAGGCAGGAAGGGACGAAGGTGCCAGGAATGGAAGACAGCCTGGAACAGAATGATTCCCAACTACTATTCAAATAGACCTCGATCTTTGGGCAATTTCAACCACCACTGTGTATTAGGCAACAGAAATATATCTCAACTTGCCTTGCACACCCCCCACTACCGCACAGTGAGAAACTGGACCCGGAAGGGGCTGTGCCCCATCCCCTAGAGCCAGCCCAGGGCTCCAGCAGGGGGCCGGTGCAGAGGCATGAGAAGCCTGATGCCACACCTCTGGGCGGCTGCCCAAGGCCAGCGTGCCCTACCACAGCCCGACCCCAACTGAACCGGGAGGCTATTTAAAGGCCTGACCCAGCCCAGCAAACAGCTGAAGGGGCCACATTTATGAAGCCACAGGCCAGACCTGAGGGCCGGTCCACAAGTGTCTTGAGAGCTCCAGTTGTAATCTGCCCCTGTGACTCGGACTGGTGACTCGCCACGTGGGCTAACCGATTCCCAGGTCTGCTCCGAACTTGAGCCTGGGACCTCTCAACCGCGGGTTCCTCTTTTCCAATACGGGCATGGAAACAGGGTGACATGGGCCTAGAAGACGCTCAATAAATGCTCCCTGCACAGCACCCGAGAGCCATAAACTCACCAGCTGCCATCATCACCACCGGTTCAATCAGCGCCACCAATGGGGCACCCACTGTGTTAGCACAGACCTGCTCGTCTCTAAACGTCACCTGATTTGGGAGCGTGGGGACTGAACCCTAAACCAAGCGTGAGGTCTGCCCTGCTCCCCTTCTCAGTGTGCCTAACCTTTTCAAAACTCTTTACAAGTGATAAAGAAACAAAGACAGACAAAAAGTCCCAAGTTGGAACAGAGGGTCTCCTGGTATTCAAGGTGCCCTTAGTCAAGTCCCCACATTTTAACGTTTCCTGCTTACGACACGATGTCTCAGTTCCGACGTGAACTTCTGAGGGCTGGGCCCCTCCTCACTCCTCCACGACCCCCCGGGACAGCGGCAGCCCATCACCCCTCCCACGAGCACCTCCATTGCCCCACTCCCCTGCACCCCCTTTGTGTCCTGCCTCCTGGTGAAGGCCGAGGCCACGGCCACTCCCTGGCGGGCAGTCGAGGTCCTGGAGGTGGACAGCCGCATTCCAATCCCGGGTCCACCTGCTCGGCAACTGCGGCCCTGGGCAAGTTATTAATTAATCTTCCGTTTCCTCATCTGAAAAGATGAAAGGAACTAACAGAGGCTCCTAAACCTCACAGGGCCACCGAGAGGCTCAAACGCGATGACGCAGTTAGAGCTTGTCACCGTCACCAGCAGGTGCAAAAAGCTTCATAAACGCACAGCCATCTCTGCTCAGGGAAACCTGACTGCGCACACACTCTGGGCCACACTGGGGGTGCGTAAAGGCCCAGATGGCAAATATTTTCAGCTTTGCAGGTCGTAAGCCTCTGTCACAGCTACTCAACCCCGAGGGGGGAACACGACAGCCGCCAGAGGTGACGAATGGGTATTAGCTGGCGGTGGCCGGATCTGGCCCAGGGACTCTACGCCACTGACCCAAGCTGGGCACTGTGCAGGGCACAGAGGACTCGAGGTCAGCAAGGCACAGACCCTGCCCTGCAGAGCTCCTGCCGTGGTGGGGAAACAGGAAAGGACATCACCGCAGCGCTGGAAACCCCGAGGCGGCGGCTGGAGGGCGCAGTCTGCAGAGCCCAACACCCCCAGTCCCGGCCCTGGGCCCCGCCCCCGAAGCTGGCAGGTGAGCCAGGAGGAGGAGAGGGGCTGGGCCAAGGAAGCACCTGCGCGTGGGGGACCAGACAGGGACGAGGGGCAGACGAGGGTGCAAGGTGGAGTTTACCCCGAGAGCGGTGCAGAGGCAGCAGGACAGGGGGTGAGAGCCAGGAGACCGAGGAGTGGGCACAACGGCCAGCCGGGGTCTCTGGGGGGGGGGGGGCATGCGTTCCGTGGGCAGACTCTGGAGTAACAGGAGCAAGGCCAGCGAGGCGCGGCACGCACTCTCCAAACCCCCGCCGCTGGGCGGGTGGCGCCGTGCTGGGCGCACCTGAGCCTGGCACAGCAACGGGGGTGGGGGAGAGAGAGAATCGGGTGGCCCTGTGCCCCGGCTTGGGCGCCCGAGTGAGTGGACGGTGACCCCAGTCCAGACAGTGACACAGGCCAGTTTGGAGGGAGACAGTGAAGCTGGACGTGCTGACCCCTCGACCCCTCTGACCACCCAGATGGACTGAGGCCTGCAGGGCAGGACAGACCCGGATGGAAGGGAAGGGAAGGGGGTGGGAGGCAGGTGGGCCAGGCATGGCGGCCACCCGAGGAGGGGCTGGGATGCAGGGGGGTGGCCCAAGGGGGGCAGCTTAAGGGCGTGCAAGGGCAGGGTTAGAGTCGGGGCAACCGGGAGTGAGGAGGGCGGTGCCCTGGAAGGAAGCAGCTGGGCCCCAGCCAGGGCGGGCTGGGGTGCTGAGAGGCGCTGGCCGGGCCTGGCAAGCACGTCATGAGCGCCCTCCACTTAAGAGTGGTCCCCGCGAGTGGAGGTGCAGTGGCAGAGGGGCCACGGCTCACACTCTTGTCCCCCCCCAAAGGGCAGCCCAGGAACCCGCAGCTCCAGAGAGTAAGAGAAAGCGGGAAGGTTCTTGTTTGTTTGTTTTAGGGCAACGATGGAAGAGTCCCCAGGATCCTAAGGCACCTAAGGAAAGTCGCCAAGCGTGTCCTGAGCACCCCTCCTACTGGGGAGGACTGGCTCTCTGCAGGAGCCCAGGGAGCGGGTGGGAGACCCTGCCTGGGGAACAGAGGGGGCCGAAGGAGTGCAAGGAGCTGGGGCCCCATCTCCCCGCCCTGTGGCAGGCCAGAGCAGCCATTGGGCAAACTCCCTCCCCCTTCCTGATCCTGGGCACCCCCGGTGTTATCTCAGGGGTGTGACTTTGGATTAGGGGGCAGAGTGTGTGTGTGTGTGTGTGTGTGTGTGTAAGAGAGAGAGAGAGACACTGACTGACCCAGACCCTCTGGGACTGATCATCAACCCAGCTCCTAACTGGCTTGTGCCAGGCCAATACCCAGCCCATCCCTCTGACCGCCCCTCACTGCAAAGATCTGCTCCCGGGGTGCCCCCTCCTCTCTGGGG